TGGTCCATAATGAGTTCTCCAGAAGACAGACATGGGACAAAACGACCCGCGTCTCCAAGTGAAGTGAGTACAATAATCAAAACTGAACGTAATCTTTAGATAAAAGCTATGAATGACTTGGACACGGTTAGCGTCGCGTTAGCCTGTTTGCTAACGTTATGTTTCAAGAGCTTCGTCGTGAAAATCTGAGCACGTTTTTTTTTTCAGTCCGGACAAACTTTCTCCCCTTTTTAGGTTCACTGAAAACTTAATTGCACGGAATGTTGTGTCAAATAGATAAACAGACTTGCGAAAAATGTTTATTTTGCAATATGTCGACTGGAGGTGAACCCAGCAAGGAGGTCACACATTATGTTTTAATTGACCACTAACGTTAGATTCTTGATTTTAAATATATAACGTTAGCTTTAAGACAGATAACTTATAAAAAAAATCAGCATTACGATACAGACCAGCACTGTGCCCGTTTCTAAAATATTTGATCACATAAGAGTGCAGTTAAATATAACTGCATTCAACTAATGCTTATGCTGTGTACAAAAGATCAAATGGTTTTCCTCAATAACGATAAGAAATGTTCAATTTATTTAAATCACAAACAAATTAGCACTTATTTTTTCTATTATTTATTTTGATGAGGAAAAGTGACTGAAAAAAGATTTTATCATAGTTGTTTTAAATGTTCTACCTCAGATTTGTTAATTCACAGTTTAAGTGTTTGTCATGTTCTGACCTTAAAGAATAGTTTTAAACCACAGTTAACCATCTGATTCCTTCGACTTTCACTCAGGAGCAATAATTACCCTTTAAACTTGAAAGAAATAATAATTTGGCATTTATCGTGATAATTATCAATATCGAATGATATGACAATTTTTAACGTTATAACATTTTTAGCCATGTCGTCCAGCCCTCAGTAGACCAACAATTCCTCTTCCCCCGGTAAGCTTTGCACGTATATAGGTGATAGATATTTATATGATAGGTGATATTGTCCTTTCGGAAATTCATAGTGTGTCATAGAGCAAACATCAGACTAACAACCAGACAGCTGTTTTACAAACATCACCCGAGTGCTATTCAAGTTATACTAAAGGCTCGTGCAGACTACACGACTTTCACTAAACCACGTTTTGTTAAGAAAACGCACGGGAAATGTTAAACAGGAAATGAGCGATCCTGCACACGAAACAGCTGTTGTTTGTTATTATAATATATTATATATATTATAAAGACAAAGAATCTGGGTGAAAGGATGGATTAGCACACGCAGGTAGCAGGAAACATCTGAGCTACAGAGAGAGCTGGAGGTGAGTTAAAAGGTGCAGCTCCCGACACCCAGTTAGCTCTTGACTGTGAGGTTACAACTCACGGCCCAAAAAGGAGAACAACAAACCCTCGTCTGTACATTTTCAGCTGAGGACTGCATCTTACTTTGGGCTAGCCTTCAACTCAACAATCAGTCATTATTTCAGTTAAATGCTAAAGTTGCTGTTACTGTTACCTTGTCTGTGGTGCGCTGACAGAACATCTGGTGCTTATTGTTCAGCTGCCCTTGTGCTGTTGCCAAGGCGACATAAGTTTCGTTTTACGGTAGACGGACTGTAACATTACAGAGTTGTTGTTTTCTTTAGCTTGAAATAATCCCATACTCTGGACACTTTCTTCTTCGTCCATCGCTATTTTCTCTCTCTTCCTCCTCTTTGCAAACAGCACCATCATAATCATGTCGTGTTCACAGCGTAAGTGCGATGTGCGACTAATAAATGTCCGTGCAAAACACTGTGCTGTATAGTTATATGGACTAAACGAAGCATCGACGCAAAGAATTTGCTTCGTTTCTGCCCTATAAACAGCCTTTACTGCTTTGTGAAAACAGTGATTATGTAAATAATCTGATGACATGAGCATTATGTTTTTGATGGAAATCTGCTCTTTTTAAGTGTATGAGTCCTCATGATAACAATGTTTTGCCCCTGCAGGATGGGTCTACCCAGTGGGCCTCAGCTGATCTGGGATCCAATGAAAGAAGGCAGAAGTTTTTACGGTTGATGGGCGCTGGCAAGGTATGTTTAGTGTGTGGTAGATTACTATACTTTCAGTTCACTTTATAGTGGGCCTGTAGTGCATTGCATAAAAGGAAAACATAAAAGTTGTGTTTTTCATGTCTTTTCCAGTCTGTAACCTTTTAGAGAAATTGTTACAATTAATATAAAACGGATTGTTTCTGTTTTCCAGAAAGAACACACTGGGCGCCTTGTTATTGGTGACCACAAATCAACATCCCACTTCCGCAGTGGTAAGGTTCTTTATTTAGCTTTTGTAAAATGCTGTATTTGTTCTACTAAGAAATGTCTAGACTACTGTCCCTTTGCCACTTAGCCATTCTGCCTCATCCTTATGCCAAATGCAATTAACCTGGCGTCCCACTACACATCCGCTGCACAGGCCTATCCATGCATGGATAGGCCTGTAATGGCTGGGTGTGCCTGCTGTGACCAGTGTCTCCTCTGCAGGGCAGGAAGATAAGAAGATCAGTGATCAACTAGAGATGCAGTACCAGCAAGGCATGGATGGGAAGCTGTCGGGCCGGAACCGGAGACACTGTGGCCTGGGTTTTAGCGAGGTGAGGGGTCATCCTGGGCCAGAAGAGAGGGCAGCTAGATATTTTCAAAATCAAACCTATAATCTTGCCAGATATAAAAAAAACTGATGAACTGTATTGGCTAAGTCCAAAAGACCACTGAGGGATGCATAAACTTTTGTAGGGAAACATTGTCCATCTTTAGATCTCCATCAGTATGCCTGATGGATGATTTTTGAGGGTGTTGGAGTCAGAGGAAAAAACGTGTTTTACATTTGGTACTGTAAAACTCAAATTGATAGAAATCATTTTAAAAATGAAAAGATAAAAATAGTGTAGTTCAGGATGTAACCACAACGTTGATAATAAATATTGCTTAAATTTGACAAAGACAGTACGTCTTACATTTATATGCAGTTTCTCCATCTTAGCGGAAGACTTTGGAGGTAAGGTGTTCATATGTTTAAGACAGTAATGTTAGCCAAAGTATTGCATCCATCCTTCCGTGCCGAACCTTCCTTACGTACCCATAAATACCTTCAGTTAGAGTGGCAACACACTCTTCGTCTTTTGTGTTTTCCTTAATATGTCAAACTGTGTGTGCAGAGCAGGGTCCGACTAGCAGAAAAAAAAAAAATCATCTTTTTTGTTCTCTTACCCACAGCCTGAGCCAGAGTCGTTTCCCTCCCCTCCAGTGGACAGTCAGACAGAAGCAACTGAGCCAGAGAAGTCTGCCAGTGAAAAAGAGTCCACAGACGCCCAGGACAAAGCCTGCAATCCCAACCCAAAGGAACAGACCTCAGACCAGGCGAAGTCTAGCTCGGACAGTAGGAAAGAAGAACGGAAACATGGCTACAAAACTGCCTTTGTAAAGTCAGTGTAGGTGTGTGGGGAGCAGTTAGTTTTTGTAATCTCAGATTTTTACTTTTTGACTTTATTTGTTTAACTGTAGGCGATCACCCATCATTTTTACTGCGTAGAAATGGGTTCACTACGCAAGCACTCATCAAGAATTAAGTCTGCAGGATAAAACGTCAGCTTTTGGATCATTTTAAGATGGCAAATGGTCCAGTTTGTATTTTGTTTCAACATTTTAACACACTGCATTTTGCCACAAATTGTGCTGGACGAAACAGGATTGCTTGCCATTCCACATGATTGGTATACACATTGTAAATTTTATGATTTCTTGTTTACAAACCAATAAAAGGAAGTTGTAATGTTTGCTGTTCTTAACATTTTGCAATGCACATTTAGTTTGCTGCCCTCAAAAGAAACAGATGGTTTCAATATGAGACTGCTTTTGCATTATTTGTCCTTTTAGATAAATAAGTTAACTGTTTGTTTTGTGAAGGAAGTGTAGATGATTTGGCCAAGATATATACATCTGAAGTCAGCATTAACACACAGTAAGTGCAAGGCAATTTATTTAGTCTTTTGTCACTGGTTTTTGATCATGACCAAGATTTTTGTACTAAAACAATTAATTGTTGATGGAGGGAACAGTTTGATTGGTAGCTAATGAATTGTGTCCAACAGTGAGAATGTAAACTGCCAAGACAATCTTTATGAATGAAATAGAGTACATAGAAAATCACAAGAAATGCATTGAAGCCCTCTTTGCATACCATCTCTGGTGGGGTCATTCAATATTTTTTCCATGCATGTTAGGAAATTTTGGTTAACAAGAATATTTTTCTTGGAAACTGCGGGAATACATGAATATTCATGTACTAATGCTACGATAAGGACTTCTGTGTCGCTCAACTCACATATGTCCATTATTATATAGTACCAAATGGAAGGTTTACCTAAAAATCAGAATTTCTTTTCTTAAAAATCTGTCTTCAGGTTTTTCTTTGCCCAGTCTTGATGCTTCAACTTGTGAATCTTATTCAGTATTTATACTTATCAGTCTTCCTCACCTTGGCCATGTCTCTGAGCACTTAGCACCTGGAACACTTAAGGTAGGTTGCAGTTCGGGAATATGGTGGCACTGGAGGGTTATGAGTTCCTGGCTGCTTCACATTTAATTCTACTCAAATCTTTTTTCATGTTAATTTGCACCTTTTCTTCTCCATGTGCTTTTTGCACCCCAGTTGCCCATTTGCACCAAGTTTGATCGTCCAGTTGTCATGCCTCAAAAGTTTAGCTCTTAAATGTTTCATCCTTTTGAATGTCATTTTACAATTTTTGACTTTTCAGTGTCAGTTTAATCTGAAATAAAAAAAAATATGCATAAAAATGATGATGCAGTCAAAATACTCAACTAATTGTGCACACAGTGTAGCTATATGCTTTTACAGAAGAATATTTTAAGAAGTGGGACGGTTTAATAATTTACCACAGGTTTGAGTTTGTCACAGTTGCATAGTGGACATCATTAAGTAAAGTTTAAGTGCGTAACGTATCTAGCCTACGTTTTACTAAAGCCGAGGAAACGCCTTTGACAATCAACGCGGCCGCATGCCTCGTAGCTGACACACAGCCTTTCCTCCTTTAACAGGATTACATACGTGAAGTCGACACTTGAAATCCAGCAAGAAGACAAAAGTAGGTAACTATGACGCATTTTATGTTTTTGCATAAAGAAAATAAAAACAGATTAATGGATAATTTATCTTGGTAGAATTAGTTTTTACCAGTTTGCTGGACTAAACTGCAGTCACTTTCCAAACCCATGCGGGAACAGAAAGCTGACCAGTCGATCTTTGTCTGCTGCAGTGTAAGTAACGGTAGTGAAGTTGGTAGTAGGTTGTACAGTGAAGTGCAGCATTTTGAATACCTTAACCAAGCACCGGCAAATCACGCTGCTGTTGTTGTGAACGCAATTTAAGGCTACATATGCACATTAGTGAGAATTTAAAACAAATGAAAAGAAACCGAAACCGAAAGTAGGCATATGTCTTTCTGAACTTGCTTGAGAGCTCTGATACAACCTGTTTGTAGCTAAATGTGCTGTGTGTATATATGTTAAATTTTCTATATTAAGTACATGTTGGAATGAAATCAATAAGCTGACTTTGTTTATTGTAAATCTCAGCAAGCTGCATGCCTTGTCTGCATGTGACATTTAGGGTTGTAATCAGGTGAAATACGTGAGGTCCAGATTTTTTTAAGAGTTTATTTACGGTAATTCATACAAAAATGACACCTAAACATAACCAAAGTTATACACTACAGACACAAACTAATGATCTAAGGAAATGCATACAGACCTGTTGGCAAAAAATAGGCTGAATTAAAGCTAAATTTTGCTCTCTTCTTCTTGCTGTTCATCATGGTCTTTCTCTCCACTGCTTGGCTCACTAAAATGGCATTCAAGATATACAGACACACACACTATGATCAGGTAGTGCAAACAGGGAGTTCTTGGTATACTAATCTTCACAACATGCATTAGGCTATCTCAAGCCTACATCACAGGAGTATAGGCCGATGCACATGTGCAGACAACATATTGGGCACTCTTGTTACTATATGACAACATAAAATAGGACAAGTTATTGCTGAATTCAGAGGATGATCTGGTTGATATTACAGTAATTTGACGTCAGCAGCTGTTACTATTATTATAGGAGCTACAAGCGCGGATCGGCACAGGACAGAGGAAACATAATTCAGCTTTTATCTCCTGAAATAATTTAAACGCTCATGACTGATCAGGAGCCCGGCTTTTTTACTCCAGACAGTTTCTCTGTATCGTTATAAACCTGGACTGGAATCTCTCGACGTGTGGAGAGATTTAAATTTGATGTTATGCTGCTGTGCCTCGTGCGTAAATGTGCACAGGTTTGCATGTGTTTCCCCAAGTGTGGACACTGATCGTGGAACAGGAAGTTGAAATGAGGGTTCCGACCGTATAATCAGGTGCGCCTGCATGGGCCTTAAAGCCTACAAACTAAATTGATCTTGTTATCAAAGACCGGATGAGGTTTGGAAAAAAATAGCAAATTGCACAACAGTCAGGAAATGGTGTGTAGGGGCGCGTGCGCTTTACCTCCATCATTGTCCTTGCACTCTCTTGCAGCCATGTGCCATCCCGCTGCTATGGTATATTATTTTCCTGGGCAGCCATATAAACTAAGATATAATTAATACTTTGTGAACAGGTGTCAACCCCACCACTCTCTTAAATAATCTGGATATAGAAGAGCATTTTGAGTTCAATCTGACCATAGTGTTTTATTAAGTGTATATTGTCTTTAGCATTATAAAAGTGAATACTTTTCACTTTTATTTGAATCTTTCTGTCCTAATAGTTATTTAAGTTTTGAAAGATGCATTTCATACTAATCATCAAAGTCCTTTCTACTACTGTAGGCATCCATTCCATTTTTCCAGATGTAGAACTTTATAGTCCAATTCTGTGGATGCATGAGTTGAATGATGAATATTTACATGGTCAATTATGTTGTGATTTCTTTATAGACTTCTTAATAACACATCCCTGTAATGCTTATTGTAAATATTATAATTATTGTGTAAAAAAAGAAAACTGATTTTTCCTACATATTGAAATCCAAATCTAAATGTAGAGTACCGAGTTTCACCACATACAAAATATATCTTGTTTTTAGAAGAAGCAAAATAGGCAATGCCCACAAAATGGATGCTGCTGAAGAGACTGAAAAGTATCCCGATAGGCTACAGTGGCCTGCCTCATCCTCCCTGTCCATGAAAAGTGATGTCTCCATGGAGGTTCGTCATGATTTCAACAAAGAAGATGCAGACAGGTACATAAAGTCTTATTTACCTAATGTATTTTAATTGTTCAGATGTATTTAAAATGTCACTGTTTGCACTTCGGTCAACATTTAATGTTAAATGTTCTCTATAAGTAAAATGACTTGACTTGATATTAGCCATGTAGCTCTAGAGACTGAAAGCTGAGAGCTGCCTAGTGAGCTAAAAACAGAACAAAATCATTAACAATTTAAAACTAAACTGAAGAAATTTTTAGGAGATAATCAGTCATGAAGTCATGTGTAGGGATGGGGGTATATGGTGGAGGTGTGGGTGGTTAACATATATGTGCTCAATTGTTTTACTGTTACTATGTTTAATGTTTGTTCTATACTGTATGTAATGTTAAAAGCCCTTCGGGACGGACACTGGAAATTAGCAGTAGCTATAAATGCTATATGATGCTGTACATTGGAAAATTGTAGTACAATTCTCTATGTTTATGGCATCTGTCCCTATCAAATAAACTTTTTAAAAACAATGTCGGTCAGTCTGTCAAGAGTAAAATATATGTAATGTCAATATGTTGACTGAAAAACATGTTTATGGTTCCAAAACAAATAATAATGATTTAAGTGATGTTGACTCTTAGTGTTGAGTGCTGTTATTTCTTTTTCTTTGCAGTTCAATTAATGTTCAAAAATCCAACTCATCCTTTGTGTCCATGGAAGGTGACGTCCCCATGAAGGTTCGTCATGACTTTGCCAAGGAAGATTCTAAAAGGTACATACAGTCTGTTCTGTGTTTTTAGTTACGGTAGTGAATTGGCTCTAAGGACTGAACCAGCCGACTGGTTCAGTCCTTAGAGCCAATCAGTCAATCTCAAACTAAATTGGGCTTATTCTTTATCATTTTTTTCACTTTCAAAAAGAAAACAAACAGGACTGGTGGAGCAGAGAGAGTAGTCAGTCCTTATTTGGTGCATATTTTAATCAGAATAATGAAACACTGCAAATGCTTTAAAACACAGTATCTGAGCCAGAACATTATTTATTTATTTTTTTTTTGTAAAATAAAAAACATTATAGGAGCAACCTGTCAGGAACAGTTAACACCCATTCAGTTACAACTTCTCACTTTTGAGTTTCCTGTAACCTAACCTTTGAGGAGCCATACTAGCTTTCCTTATCCTGTGTCAAAATGAGATGAACGTAATCCTAACATCAGCAAAGACAACATGTTAGTATTGTATTCCATGTACTTACCTAACATAATTTGTACATTTTTGTATTTAAACTTTACATTGCTACAATAAAGAGCCATGGTCATTTTAATTCAAGACAAAGGCAAATCATCATGCATATTAAGGAAGCACTCCTTATATTAAAATGCTGCATCAATAAATTAATGATCATGACATGATAAATCAATCGGTCACAATACTATATTAAAACTGTCTGAATTCCAACAGACTTTAGTAATCTTAAAAATTATTCTCTATATCTATCTCAAGGGACCAACTTGACTGTTCAGAATTGAAAGAGATGGATGGCAATGCCGTGTTTAAGGTAAGTTATGTCTCTAATGTCTGCACTGACGCCATAATGGCTAAAATGGCTAATGTCTTCTTCATGTGCATAAAGTAGTAGTCTTGGAGTGAACCTAACATGTAAAAGCTTCACTGATTCTACTTTGTCCATTGCAGTTGGTGGAGGAACACGCCAAGAACATTTTGCTGAGTGAACTAAAAAGATATAAAAGAATTCTCTTTCCACACCTATCGCAATCTATTGAGAGTGACAAGCAGGATGAAGACTGTTTGACTGCTGAAGACAAAAAACAAGACAACAGTGCCAGTGAGGGGGTTCTTAAGATCACACTACATGTCTTTAAGGATATGGGCCAAAGAGAGCTCGCTAACAAACTGGAGAAACGTAAGTACTAAGAATGGGAACAAGTACACTGATTTTGTGGTACTATCCTATTTTATGTATGTATATACCCAATTTCAAGGCAAATTTCAAGAATTTGAGTATTTGGTGTTTTTCCCAAAATGTTGATGACGAATTTGAAAAAAAAAAAGTTATATCATCTGAACCTTTTACTGCCAAATTAACATCTGAGGCTACAAATTATTTTTTTCGGTTTATGCACTGGAATTAAGGCACTATAATTATATTCTTGTTTTGTCTTTTGTGTACAACTAGACATTTATGGTGAGCTTGATGTCTGCCAGCGCAAACTCAGACACAAACTGAAAAAGTTTGAATACATTTATGAGGGAGTTGCACAGCATGGGAACCAGACACTTCTTAACAAGGTGTACACGGAGCTCTACATCACAGAGGGAGTCAGTGGAAGTGTTAATAAAGAACATGAGATCAGGCAGATTGAGGCTGCAACCAGAAGGAGAGCAACAGAAGATAAACCGATCAAATGTGAAGACATCTTCAAGCCCCTACTCGGCCAAGACAGATTCATCAGAACCGTGCTGACTAAAGGAATTTCTGGCATTGGAAAGACCATCTCTGTACAGAAGTTCAATCTGGAATGGGCAGAGGGACGAGTTAACCAGGATATCCAACTTCTAATGAATCTTCCGTTTCGGGAGCTGAATCTGATGAAGGGGAGACGCTACACACTGACGCAGCTCCTTCATCATTTTCTTGCAGAGGCAAAAGAATCAGGAATTTCAAATTTCGACAAATACAAGCTTGTGCTGATATTTGATGGGTTGGATGAGTGCCGTCTCCCCCTGGACTTCGACCACAACGAGCCCTGCTGCAGTGCCTCGGAGCCTGCTTCAGTGGATGTACTGCTGACAAATCTCATAAAGGGGAACCTGCTACCCTCTGCACACCTCTGGATCACCTCCAGGCCTGCAGCTGCAGATCGCATTCCAGTTTGTCTTGTTGACCGTGTGACAGAGATACGAGGGTTTAACAATCCCCAGAAGGAAGAGTACTTCAGGAAAAAAATCTCTGATGAAAACATGGCCAACAGAGTCATCTCACATGTGAAGTCAATTAGGAGCCTCCATATCATGTGTCACATACCAGTCTTCAGCTGGATATCTGCCACCGTTTTGCAGAGGATTTTAGAAGAAACTGAAAGGAAGATACCAGAGGAGGATGTGGGCAGAGGAGAAATGCCAAAGACTCTGACACAAATGTACACACACTTTCTGGTATACAACTCTTTGATCACAACTCAGAAGTATTCAGCGGGACAAGAGGCATCAGAAACACAGTCTCAGGACAAAATTGACAAAGAGATGATATTGAAGCTTGGAAAATTGGCCTTTGAGCACCTGATGAAAGGCAACATGATCTTCTATGAGAATGAATTGAATGAGTACAATATCAACGTTAATGATGCTGCAATATATTCAGGACTGTTCACACAGATCTCAGAGAACGACTTCGGATATCATCTGGAGAGGGTCTATTGCTTTGTGCATCTCAGCATACAGGAGTTTTTTGCTGCAATGTACATTTTCCACACGTTTGTCTGCTTTAATCAGAACTTGCTAGAACCACAAGAAACCACCACAGTCCAGGAGGCTCCTAGGGATATAACCAACCTTCTCAAGAGTGCAGTGGATAAGGCCTTGCAGAGTGACAACGGACACCTAGATCTTTTTCTTCGTTTCCTTCTGGGCCTCTTGCAGACATCCAATCAGACTATGTTGAAGAGTGTTCTGACCACAATGAGAAGCAGTTCACCAAGAAATGAGGAAATTGTTGAATACATCAAGGAGAAGATCAGGCAAAATCCCTCCCCAGAAAGATGCATCAATCTCTTCCATTGCCTCAGCGAGCTGAATGATGAGTCTCTTTTGGAGGAAATCCAAAACTACCTGAGTGCTGGTAGTTTGTCGGAGACCAAATTGTCACCTTCACAGTGGTCTGCTCTGGTCTTTGTGTTGCTGACCTCAAAGAAGGAGTTGGATGAGTTTGACCTGAGAAAATATTCAAGATCTGAGGAGGGTCTTCTGAGGCTGTTACCAGTAATCAAAGAATCCAAAGTTGCCTTGTGAGTAAAGAAAAACGTTATCCTCTGCACCTATCATCATAATCACTATATGTAATGCAATAGTTTTTTTGTTTTAACTTTTTAAAACACTCTACTGTAAGTTGTTTTTAAACTCACGGGTAACAAAATTTGATTTGATAGTTTATTCAGATCTGAAGTGAAATCGTACAATGGCTGATTATAAAGGTGGTATGTGGTAGCATATGAAAATATCAATACATTTGTCAGATGTTTTGTTTTTTTAAATGCAAGACCACATTTCCTGCTTCTTTTTGGTTTCTCTTAACTTTCCTGTAAAAGAGTCCACGTCTGCAGATCTTGTGATTGTCTTATTCCTTTTATGCTATGTCTCAAAGTTAAACAATCAGCAAATGTATAATTACACTGTTTTTCATTTTGAAGGCTTAAAGAATGCAACCTCACAGAGAAATGCTGTGAAGCGCTTGGAGCAGTCCTAAGCAATTCATGTCTGAAAGAGCTCGACCTGAGTGATAATGATCTGCAAGATTCAGGAGTAAAACTGCTGTCTGCTGGTCTTGCAAGTCCAACATGTCATCTGGAAAAATTGAGGTTTGTGAAGAAGTGCTAAAGCAGGCTATCTATAACAATCAATTAAAAAACACATCTGAAATGGATGAGCTGAGCACATGTCCAGTTCTAATCTAGTTTTGGTGAATAGGATTTTGTATTGCATTGTATTTGTTTTACTGTTCAATTTCAGAATGCCATTCTGTGGAATCACAGAGATTGGCTGTGACTATTTGGTGAGGGCTCTGAGGTCCAACCCCGATCACCTGAAGGAACTGGATCTGAATTACAATCATCCAGGGAAACTGGGGATGCAGCTGATGTCCGGTGTACAAAAGGATATTGAACACCTCACTGTCAGGTATAACTCGGAGTCAAATATCAGCTGTTGTTTTGTTTTATTTTTGTTTAATAAACTAATTTTGCAGAGGTTTTAAATTTCAAATGTCATCTCTTTGATTTTTCCTAGCTTAAATGGCAATGCAGAGTGCTACTTAAAATCAGCTCTGAAGAAATGTAAGTTGTTGGGTTTTTGTTTTGTTTTCTACCAACAAATCAATTACAGCCGGAGTATCTGACCTGAATATGTAATGTGGGCAAAACTGAAAATGTCATGGAAAATATTTATGGTTAGATTACTTCCTTTTTGTGTTTCATCAGATGCATGTCGACTTACTATGGAGCTGAATAGTGCCCATTCACACCTGTCTTTTTCTGAAGACAACAAAAAAATGACGCGCATGGAAACCGCACAGCCATATCCTGATAACCCAGAGAGATTTACAGACTGGGGACAAGTACTTTGTAAAGAGGGTCTGTCTGCTCGTTGCTACTGGGAAGTAGAGTGGACTGGGGAATGGACAGGCGTTGGAGTGGCTTATAAAGGAATCAGCAGGAAAGCAAAAGGTAACGAGTCTGTCCTTGGCTATAATGATCAGTCCTGGAGTCTTCGCTACTGTAATGGCAAATACACCGCCTGGTACAATAGGGATGATGCACCCATATCTGTACCCTACTTCAAATCCAAAAGGGTTGGAGTGTTCTTAGACTGGTCAGCTGGCACTCTGTCCTTCTACGCTATATCGTCAAACACAATGACTCACCTGCATACGTACCACACTGAATTCTCTGAGCCACTGTATCCAGGCTTCAGGCTGGGATTTGCAGATTCTTCATTAATTTTGTGCCAGCCAGAATATCCTTAAATACTGTTAAATATTCAGTGTATATGTTCATAAAATATGTACATAGAATAAATCAAGGATGACATTGAAATTGGTATTTCAGATGGTCTTGATCTAACATGCTATTTCCATCTATATCAATAGAAATATCAGTTAATCAGTTACCTTAGTTGGAGCTTGCTCAGTTTAACTCTCTAAACTTTGTTGAAATGTTTTCAAGAAAAACAAGTGATTGGACTTTGTGATTTAGAATTTTTCATCAAACAGTGTTGATTGTAAATAAGTGTACATGCTTGTGTGTTGTAGCAGTTGGAATATCTTCCCCTTCGGAAAACTTTGTATGTTCTTTATCTGTACAGGATATGATAAATGACATAGGACAATATAAAGTTACAAAACTACAAATCAATGTTATGTAACCACATTCAAATAAACAATTAAATGTAAATGCACCTTCAAAGTTGATTTCATTAGATTATTCTGTCAAGTTTATTTTGTAGTTCAACTTGTGACAAAAGACTGTATGTTTTGTATAAGTTAAGTGTGAAAAACAGATGTTATGTATTTTTTTTAAACAAAAGTGACCTAACAATTTCAAAGAAACAGACACCAAATAATTTCTAATATTTATTTTCTGTAAGGACTTAATTTTTTTCATGTTAATTGCTTTTCATGTTAAATTGTAATGCATTTGAGTTGAATGGCAGGACCGTCATCATTGGGCAACAGTTTGAGAAACTGTACAGTAGAAGTTGAACAAGCATGTCAAGCCAAATGTAATAAATAAACGATTCATGTCAAAATATTCATACTCTAATCTAAGCATGTTGGCACTGGCTTTCATTTTGCTCTTATTTTATTCACTAAAATACAAGCCAAACTGTAAAACAGGTAATTGCAGATAATAAAAAACAAGCATTCACTCATGTTAAAGTATTCTTACTTAATTGTGCAATGTAAGTGGTGAAGCAAGAAAACTTGATTCTATTTCAAAACTATGAATTAAAACTCTTTAAAAAAAAACAAGTATCTTGTTCTCACTCATAAATAAGAGATTTATTACAAGTGAATCAATTAGTTGGCAACTGTTGAAAACTGATAAAACCCACAACTAATCTCTACTAACTCAACTAAAGCTCTCAAATAATCTCTTCTGTTTTGTTGTGTTGGTCGTTCTTATGGGTCAGTGTTCTGCAGCAGCTTTGGCTGAGGAGAAGAAAACACAGTGAAAACATCAGTATTTCTTCTTGCTGTCAGAATATCGTAGGTGAAAACACATCTTTGAATTTGCTTTAGATGTGCTTATGCAAATTAAACACTTAGGTTTCCAGTAGACTATAAAAGGACAAACCGCTCCCATGAGAAAATGTCCCGTTTAGTTTTATGTAGGCTCAAATATTATTTGCAAATAATCTGTATTTAAAAGTGACAGTAAAACAAACTGAAAAAGTTATTTACATGTGTTTGATGCATGTGATCTAGACTATTTTGCAGTACTAAAATACTATAAAAATTCAGAAGCAGAAAAAACGAATATTATGACATGTCATTATTCCTGCAAAAGATCAATCAAGTGTTTTTTGTTTGTTTTTTTCAATTTACATAGAGAACACACACAACTCAAACCAAAACACCACTTGCATTTAGGCCACCACATTTCACCAAAGCAGCCCTTTACGATACCTGAGCCACACCGACCAAAACAACAGCCGAGAAGTAACCCTTAATCTCTTTGGCTAGAATATCACCCAACAAAGAAACCAGGACTGCACACTGATTTGTTTCAGGAACTTGGTACAAACAGGTAAGGAATTCATTCAAACATAATTTACATCACTAACTAAGATTTTAAAAAGGGAGAAAAAATAGGTTTGAGTCCCTTTTTGTCACAAATCTGTGCACATTCCTGACCAAATTTAAGTAAGACATACAATGAATTCACACAACCTGAAAGGGAAATGGCAGGTATACCTGAACCATACATGTTCACCGATTCTCCAGCCACTCAGTCTCTGTACACCAGGGAACACGACAAATTACATGTCTGTCTGAGATAGTAATCTAAGATGATTCCTGCTAAATTTACACCACAGTGGCATGTGAATACTTTGTTAAATAAGAATGTATTTTGACTACAGATTTCTTATGACAACAGTAGGTTTGTTTCTAGATTCACTGCGAGTATTTTTGTACTTCTATCTTTGTGAGAACTGACTTGAGTTTTACAGGACAGTTCTACAAAATGGACACAGAGTTTGGGATTATTAATATTGGAGTATAAGTGCTTAGAGAAAGCATGTGCAATAGCTGTGGTTATTGCTTAGTTTAAGGGCCAAGGGATGTAAGTAACACTAACCTGCGACCAGTTTGCTCTTGCGTGAGGCCTCAGAGGCCAGAGCATGGGACACACTCATGATCCTCTCCTGCTGCTGTAAAGCTGAGTCCAGCTCACTGAAGTCCAGTGATGCAGACGGATGGATGTTCTGAACACTGTTGGAAGGACACAAACACTCAGAACTATTAACCAGTGAATAGCTCACTGACTAGTCTTAAACTAAGAACTGCCCCTGGTAGGCCTGACATACAGTTTGAGTGGGCTTATTCAGAAAAGCATGTTGTAGGTAAATGGTACATTTGCTTCATATTCAGTGTGCTAAATAAAGACTATAGTGGTAATTTGATTACCAAAATGGTAATTTTTATTACTCCAGAATGATTGATGTTATAAAATGATTTTTATGTATTACTATTCACATGGCAAAAATTCTGAACTCACTGTATATATCATTTAACTCCAAAAATACTCTCTTGGAAAACACCAAAAACAAAAACTGTACCAATCCAACTCCAGTGTAATTATGTGAGGACTGACTACCTGGATTTGGCCAGGAGGTTCTTGATGCGTTCAGCCCGGCGAGAGCGTTCTTCCAACTCCTTTGGATTCAGTGGCTCCTCAGAGTCTGACTCTATGTAGCGCTCTGGGATGGGAACTTTCTGTGGTTTGGACAGCTGCATGTTGGATAGACAGGTAGTCAGTCAGTGTATTGGATGCTACAATAAACTAGTGGTTTCTTGTTTTCTCCAGTGTTTCCATTCCAGTGGAGGTATACAACAGCTATTAAATGATTTGCTTGGTGATATGTAGTACCCTTTTCCATAATGATAGTAAAGAATTGCCACTCAGGTATAATTGCTTTGTTGAACTGTAAAGTGCAGATTTAACCCGATGGATCAGAACAGTTGAGCTGTAAGAGGTTGTGTATCTTTTGTGTCTGAACAACTGCCTCTATCTGCCCTGACACTTGTATTTTTCCGGACTGAGAAAGAGGCCAAGCAGATGACTCTCTACCTCTCTGCTGATATCCAGGTCATAATCGAAGGGCTCCACATCCACCTCTCGTACGTGTGTGGCCGTTGCTGTCACCCACTCATTTGATTGAATCCTCCCTCTCTCTTTCACTTGATTCCAGCCTTCGTCGCTTTGCCCCTCTGCCCCAAGTCGCTCCTCCTGCCAGTCAAACACCTAAAAACAGCAGGAGTCAGGATTAGACAGCTAGCCTGGTGACTGTGAAAAACACATTTGCAAGTATCTTTTTTTAGATGTGTCTATAAGTAAAGTTAAAGTAAGTAATAATTACATTAATCTCATTGGTCATGTTTGAAAGATTTTAGAGCTTTTATATTAATAGAAAATTATTTTGAACCATTGATAGTATTGATTAGGTCATTATCTAGAAGGTATCCAGGTCAGATTTCCCTGGATACCTGCTAGATCATTTATAGTACCAAGTTTTGCAATACGAATTTTCCTTGGAACGGAAACTATTTGTTCATTCATCTTTTATTCAACTGACATTAAATTAATTTGTAGCAATTTTGATGATTAAGTAATTATTTTAGTAAAAATGTCATGGTTCGGCTTCTCAAATTTGAATATTTTGTGGTTGTCCCAGTCTTCTATGATAGTAAATTGATCATCTTTTGGTTTTGGCCTGGTGATCAGACAAAATAAGCAATTTGAAGAAGTCATTTTGGGCATTTTCATTATTTATTTTCACACAACTGTTAGAAGAAAAGATTGAGAAAATGATCTGCAGATATATCGATAATTAAAATGATCGTTGACATAGTTGCAGCCCTAGTATTTTTATTGATAATTGAAGGTCAATAAAAAAATGCTAACAACATGTTTATACTCTTCAGTAAAGTGAAAGAAAATGCAAACCCTCAAGGGGCAGTGGCAGGAAGGGCAATGGAGGGTAGTGACAGTCTCTTTGTGAGTTAAAGCAGTTAGATTTATAGGAAAATGTGAAAACTAGCATTGACAACTGTGGTAAAATGAAGTGTGTCATCTCCGCCACTAGTTTAGTAATTAATGTATAAAAATGCCTAACACAGAAATGCCAAAGACTCTCTGGTTAAATATATAATGTCTCTGCAGTGAAGTGTGCCTCAGGTAGAGGGAGACAAACACTAAAGTCAAAGGAAGACAAATGTGAATTGACCATTTCTGTGCAACAAGGAATAATTATAGCAAGAAGTTCATCCAGGGACTTGAAAGGATGATGTTTAGAATCATTACCACAGAGAAGACTCAGGCAGATGATTAGTCTGTGTTTCACATCCTTCTCTCTTATGTACAAAAGCACATTTGTATAAAAATACTGTGACTCTTATTCTCTTATGTGTGTGTGTGGTGAGGGGTACTTGTGAGTAATCATCCAAGGAGTGTCAAAGCCATGCATGCATTCTTCCCACTCCAGTAGCTTGCAGCAGGGTCTGATCTGTTGAAGTGCTTTGAGAAACACTGCATCCCATGCCTTGTTGTGCTCAGGAGAATCAGTCACACACAAAAGGATAGAGAGAAAGAAAACCATGCAGACACAGATTCATCAAACCCCCGGCAGATTAGGAAGAACACAGCCAAGAGGAGGTTCAGAAGCAAGAAACTCTTTATTGTCGAGTGCAAATCTCTACATGATAGAAAAGAAAAGGAAAAGAGCTTTGTGTTGCTTCTGAATTACACAGAATTAGGTTGTGATTAGCAGTTCTCTTTTCTAAGTTCTTTACTATATTTCTACTCCTCAACTGAGCAACCTCCTGTAACTATTTTCACTTTGATCTGATATACTGTACGTAGCTGTTGAAGGATAAAAGCAATATGGCAGAAAAACTTTCAAGATTATTACTTGTCGGGAAAAACAAGGAGTGGACAACAGTGCCATGAAGAACCAAAAGTATTTTTAAAATGATCTTCTAACATGTACTGCTGTAAAGACTATTTAATTTGTCTGTCAACAAAAACGTAATGAACGGTTTTAATTATCTATTAGTTTAAGGACACATGTCAAGCAGAAACTGATTAAAGTTTTCAGTTTCATTATTGTAAATACAGTATCTCTGGGTTTTGAACTGATAAAAAAAATTATTTAAAGATCTCACCTTGGTATCTGAGAAATTGTTAGATATTTATTTTTCAGAGATATTGTTGGCAAAATGATCAAACAATGACCACCCTAAATCTGTTTAACACAAATTGTCAAATATTGCCACTGTCCTGTCGCTTTCTTACTTTCAATACAGTTATCCCATGACACAGTTGTCTGCTCCTTGTTCATGCTTTATTTTTTTATTGCATTTCAGCCCAGTTGCTTGACCCTGTTCTGTGTATTTATGATGCATAAAACAGCACAGCATAGGCCACTTAAGTACTCAGATATGAGTACAGATTCTCTTCCCAACTTTAATTGTGGCAATGTAATTACCAACCACTGTCAAACGATAAAAATAAACTTGTAGTCTGTACAAGAAAAGGCTGTATTAATGAAGATGTTAATTCAAATATAAAATGGTATAAACGTATTATGGTGGTGGAGTATACAAAATAAAATATGCTCTGGCATTTATGGTTATATGCACTAAAAGAGGTGAAAAGTAGCAGAGTATTACAGACTATATATTGCTCACTGTTACAGGGAAACTTGATTTCAAGGGTTTATGGGAATTATAGTCTGATTACAGGCAGATCTCACAGCAGTCTGGTTATACGTGCGTGTTAGGCTGTAATCATAATACCAATCTGGTAGTTATTAGGTATCATCTTATCTTAATGGAAGACTTTGACATTTTACCGTATTACTTTCTTCACCCAGGCATGTTAGCATTGTTAGCATTCCTTACTGAAACTGAGGGGAACCAAGAGGTAAGTTAGGTAAGTTAGATTTAGTGTCAAATGTCAAAGTATTCCTTTAGGGGTTAAAACCAGCGGTGTCCCAACATCTTCCTGACTGAATTCTGCTATTACACAGAAAAGCAACCTTAAAGCTAGCTCTTGCATCGTTTCAATGATTCTGAGGTGGAGACGAATACTTTAAACAAACCATGATTAATTCAAATGTTGATTAAGGAGGTAAATTTGGGACAAAGGCAAAAAGATCGTCAGCAAAACAAGGCACTTGGATTTCATTTGAAGAAAATAAAGTAGGGAGGTGTGATCATGATTTGGGCCACTAGCATTGCCTCATTCTTCAATTCATCAACCTGAATACTTGTTTTTTCTTTTTCCAGCATTTCCCCCAACCCTCTATATGTTCTATATACCAAATCTCTACAAAATATAACTGTACAACTGTATACTGAAAATATCACTCAGTAAATAAATAAAAGTGTACAAGTACACGGTATGTAGATGTACATAAATGGGCTCTACTTTCTGGTGATAAAAACAGAGAAAGGAAGGCAGGGTAATGCCTCCCATTCCCTCCTTTTCTCAATGGATTTACATTCACAATTGTGTCAGTGAGGTCCCATCAGGGCGCAGTGGTAACAAGGGGTTAATGTGACCCCTGAACCTTTAAAAAATAAAATTAACAGGGAGTGACACTGTCCAAGTCCAGAACTAGCCAAGCATTACTCACAACTCTGTGCTCATTTTTTCTCCCATTGTTCTTAAAGCATTAACCAAGCTAGCCAGCCATTGTCAGTCCTGCCCTTCAGCTTGTTAGTGCTTACGGCTTACGTCAACAACCACTGGTTACACAAGCCAGATAGTGCTAGCGTGTTAGCATTCCTGCTAGGTTATTATGTGGCTGGGGGCTGGAGGGTGGCATAGCAGCAGTGGTGGTGAAGGTGGTGCTCCCTGTGTCTGCTGCTGCTGCGCATGGGTGGGGGGTAACGTACGGAGACCGAAGGATCGGAGGTGCTAGAGGGCAGCCTGGAGGAGGAGGCAGAGCGCTGGGTGGTGACAGTGGAGGTGGACATGCCCATGGAGGAGCGCTCGCCCTGGCTGAGGTTCCTCTTGCGCTCACGAACAAGTGCCTTCTGGTGGCGCTTCATCCGCTCCAGCTGCTCCTCTGCAGTCATGCGCCCTCGAGACTGGCTGTTTTGGAGCTGCAGGGCTTCTGTAGGCGATGACAAACGCTCCAAGGCACTCTTAGGTCTCTCCTGTGAGATAGGGAGAAAAGATACAGGGAGAATTGTAACAAGGATGGGATGGTTGGTTAGTGCGGGCAGAAAGAGCTCAGAGGCACAGAACAAGAATGTAAAGAAATAGATATATAGTAGCTTATGAGAAAATGAAAAGCAGGCAGAAAGTAAGAAAGAAAGGAGGATGAAAGTTGGAGGAATATGGACAGTGAAATAGTGTAGTGGAAGACAAGTGTAAACAAAATGATACAGTAATAATGAAAGTTACCGTTTTAAACACCATACAGTAACACTAAAAATATTCCATATTTGCCTGGATTCAAATACAAAGACTATCTGCCGCTATCACAGAAAGTCTGCAACCTACAATTCAAATGCTATCTGTACCTAGTTATTGAATTGCATATATTAAAAATATATATTTCTGTATTGTCTATGAATAGATGACTCATACACAAATCTAATCACAGCAAAACCTAAATTGTATGATCAGGTATTGTGTACAACACATGAGGAAGTTGTCCTTAGGGCTGCATGTTATTCAGAATCTTTCAGTATAGTCAAGCCTCACACTGAAACCCAAAACTATTACATGAGATTAAAACCCAGTTTCTAACAAAACCTGGCCTTAACATAGAGATAATTTCTTTAGCTGATCAAAGGTATGTACAGATACCTCCACCCCTGATATCTTGACTCACCCTGGCTGCAGAGATCCCGGGGCCTCTCCTTAGGGTGACGTAGGAGGAGATAGAGTTGGACTGGTTCTGTCGAGATAAGGAGCCTGGCAGACCTAATCGTTAAGAATGGGCACAGTTTGGTTTAGAGTAATGAAAACACAGTGACAGAATGTAAAAATCTTATAAAAGGGCTATAAATAGATAAATAAAAGAAAAATAGAGACTAAGAACTTTAGGTGAAACAAAAAACACCTGCTCACTATTCTGTATATGAAGTGAATTATTATGCAATGTCTACACTGGAAAAATAAATGCCTCGAAATATTGAAAATATTTACAAAATTAGATACTTTATTTTATCAAAGAATGTTTCGGGATTTAGAAGAATTTTTATAACTTTGAAGATGGTGGTCTATCTCTTTGAAACATTAGGCTCCTTGTGGTTAAAAATTAATTTACAGAAGGATAGTTTATTAGCAAGATAAGTACAACATTTTTCATGTTTTAACTGATGAATCCTCTAGTCTGAGGAGATTGGATTTCTAATGAAAGAAAATCTCTCTTGCTGAACATAAATACACTTGTCAATGCTTATTCAAGCTTTAGTGAATTCAATTCAAGCTTGCTTAGTACATTTTCTCATACTTCTATCCTTTACACCAAAACAAAGTTTGTTTCCAGAAAGGAAAACACTCATTGATCTACTGTACCTCTTTTAAGTATATACAAAAATTCACTAAAATAGGATTATAGTTGGTATGCATACCACCCTAAATAATGGTCTGATTAAAGATCTGTATTTTCTGTTAATTGTATATATTTTACATTCTTCTCTTCAGATACCTTTGCTCTGGAAATAATGGTAGTCAACGTCAGACCCGGTGCTGTGGTAGCTAACTCCTGGCAGCTCTGGTTCACTCAGGTATGACCGCAAGTCAGTCTGAAACCAGAAATGGTTGAACAGAAAGACAGTATGTAGACAGGTGTCTATTTGTGCTTTTTGAATTAAACAACAATTTGCAGAACGTAATGTCGCAATTTGAAATTAAATATTAAAATGACCAAAAATTCCCAAGGCTTCATTTCAATATAGACAATAGTAGGGAGATGGATTTTTTTAGGTACTGAATGACAGCATACCTTACAGTCTCCATTGACAACATACTGGCCGCTCTCCCTGTCCCTCTTCCTCTCATCTGATTGCCGTTTCAGCCCACGCACCGATGTGTGGCGGATGACTGAGGCCTCTTTGGGGAGAGGCGGCACCACAGGGGGTGTCTCCTCGTAGTCATAGAGGCGAGGAAGTGGTGGCCTGGGCGGGGCGGTGTCCTCTGCCTGGCAGAAAAGGATTTTGTATTTTAGTTCCATAAGTACTGCTGTATTGCTGATGACCTTTTTTTGGTGAGCGATTCTCTTAAACACTAAGAGAGACTAAATCCAGCAATAATTCCTGAAATTTGATATGAAACCAACTCTGCCTTGCAGTATTTCAAAGCGGATGGATGACACTCACCCACTTTGGCACGTGCTGTGAGGCAAAGTGTGGGAGAAGATGCTTGGGATGGAGCTGCGAGGAGGAGGCTGGACCTCTGTGCTTTGAGAAGGCACTGCCAGGTCTGACACCGAAGGCACTAATTTCCTCTCTGGTGGGGCGTGTGAACACAGAGGAATCAAGGTTTAGCTTTTAAATGTAAGCAGGTTTGAAATGGATTTACAGTCAGGAACGGGGGAAATTTCGGACCACATTTACACAGAGAAGAGCAGAAAAACAGACATGTTGTCACAGATTTCAATAAATGCAGCCACAAGCTGCATAATTGCCATTTTCACTCATTAAATCTGATCTTTATTTATAAAGATTTCTAAACTAAGATCAATGCATTATTAGTGGAACCACAGAGAATACATTACTCTACAACACCTAACTGATTATATTGTAATATGTTCACAAAACCACATATCTTAAGAATTTCTAGTGTATTTTGACAATAACAACTGCTGTGTTGCTATGGTTACCAACCTGGATTCTGGACAGAGTCAATGGTGATCTTGTAGTTGGCTTTGCTGGCACTCAGCCCCGCCATGACGTCCTCAATCCTCCACAGCTCTCGCTTCATCTCAGCTTTCTCTGGCTACAGTTTGACACATGGATGCAAACACACATACACATCTGACTCCATTCATATAATATTTGTAGCTTTCAATTCTGGTTTGCTTCAAATTGGTTAAATCAGTGAAGATGTAAGAACTGAGGAATGACTTGTTAGATATTTTTATTAAAAAAAAGGGAGAAATACAGTATGTATGATTTCAAATTTTCTGGAAGACCTAAGGACAATTTAATAACACGGTACTGTACTTTACTGACTATAAAACCCAGCCTATAAGAAAAACTAGATGCTTTAACTAGGAAACCAGGGCTGGCAGTTTGGAGGTGAACCTGCTGTGAGCTGCAGAACCAGGTCTCACCTGAAGGGTGGCGCTGTGGTTCATGTGTGCCTGCAGCGCCGTCCTCAGCTGCTCCACTGATCTCTCCAGCCTGCTGTACTCCCCCCAGGCCTGTGCCATCTCCTGCATCACACACACACACACACACACACACACACACACCACACACACACACACACACACACACACACACACACACACACACAGTCTTGAGTCTTGAGTTACATACACAGTAGAGGCTTAAGGTACACAGTTTGGAAAATACATGTGTACAAACTGATGTGTCAGATCATTACATGTATACACAAACTTAATCACAGGCATCGGTGCAGATATGCGCACACACTCTAAAAAAAAAAGACAATACACACACACACACACACACACACACAAGCAGACATACATACCGTGGAGAGGCGTGATATTTGGGCCCTGATGGTGACCAGATCTTCCTGCAGCAGTCTCTGCTGATAGGTGATCTTGTGGGCGTGGGCCGGCTGATCCTGGTACTGCTCCATCTGCTGGTGGGACAGATCTAGTACACTCTCCAGCTTGTCCTGAAAGGGTGAGGAGTCATGCAGCTTGAGATCAACCGCAGCAACTAAGGCCTATAATACGATTCAGCAGATAAAACTCATTCAAAAATGACTCGAGAGGGAAGCATGTTTCTACACTCAATCAGGAGCCACAGTGAGCTCTCTATTTAACTTCCTCTTACTTACTTACCTTCTGAGCCGTATATGATCAGGCTTTCATTCCAGACCTTAGAGTATACATTTTGCATTGTTATTGTACTTTTTAGTGTGTTCAGCATCCCTTTAAGGACTGATGTTAGTGCCTTCAGTTTGGGGTCTGTGTGTTTCTGGACAGGTCTGGTAAAAGTGACAGCCATACCTGCTTTTCCAGTCCACTTTTCGAGTCTAACAAATCAATATCTCCGCCTCTCCTTCATTAAAATTTCCTCTATGACTGTGAATGTTGAATCGATTCCACTTTACTTTGACTTTAATTTGACTATGCTGCTAGCATCTCTTTGATAGCTGAATCACCGTCTGTTATCAAATTTCACTGAAGCCCAACTGACAGCAGCAAATTAAGCTCTGTCCTTGAATGCGGCACCATCATGTTTTCTTCTAATTTGTGCCAGTTGACTCATCAGACTGACTGAGGTCAGCTGGTAGAATGAGATGGTTTGATTGATTGAGAACCTACATAACTAGCAGAGTGTGTACCTTGTCCTCCTTCAGGGAGCTGATCCTTGCCTCCAGATCCTTGAGGATGTTGTCCTGCTCACATAACTGACTTAACTTCACCTGCAGTGGAAGACACAGAGTTGAGTGGGAAGGAAGAGAGAAGGGGCTTTCTAGTAACTGTACACTTTTGCAGATAAAGCACTTCTCTAGGAGCAAAGTGTGTCTGTGTGTTGACCTCTGGTAATTAAGTGGCCAATTTACTTCGTTACAACTTCCCCCTGTCTCTGCAGTTGTAGATTAATTAGTATGTGCACAATAATGTGTGTCTCGGTGTATGTTTGTGAGTATGTATAGTGATGTTTGTACATGTGTTTATGTGCATGTATACATATCTCATTTCAAATGTTTGAGTGCACGCATGCAGGTTTGTATTACTTAACATTCACGTAGCTCCCCTGGTCTTACTCGGGTGTAATTACTGTGAGTGAGCCATTACACAAAGTGGGTGCGACCCACCTGACACTTTTAATTACAGTGTCAGGGAGGCTCTGAGCCTTGTTAATTAATCCCTGATTAAACTCTGCGAACTTCGAGGCAAAGGTTGGATCACTTTATCATCCTGCGGTAAAACAGCAATATTTGTGTAATAAGGTTGTGACTGAACAGCTTGATGTGAACAAAGTGCTTAGCCATATACATTTTACACTGAACACTAGTTTTTATTTTCCATCAAATACATTATTAATCCTGTTGTTGTCTCCACAGTGATGTTGTTGTTGGATCTAATCAAATATTCATCGTAGACAACGCTCTCATAAATTGTTTAAACAGCCACATATGAAGCTTGTACTGAGAAACACTTTCACAGGAGAAATAAGACACTATAAAACCGCAGGGAATCGTTTGGATTATCAAACTGCAAGAGTAATTGTATTTACATATTAACACTGCACGCTGGTTGACCCTTGAAGCTAAGAGTGATAGTTTACAGAGTCCTCCCACACTTTTTCCACAACATCCATATTTTGTTTTGTCTTCATTACCCTGACTTTTCTCCCAGTCTGTGCCGCTCCCCTAAACAAACTTAAATTTTATGTTCTCTTGTCTAGAGTGGAACAAAGCAGAGTGTGTAACTGAATAAGGCTGACCAATCGTCTTCATCCTCTGTTATTTCAACGATACCAAATGCATAGAAATGCTTTACCTGCATGCAAGCATGTTGCATCAAACTACATACAGTAGAAGAAAATGGAAATATTTGCATAATTTTTTTCATTGAAGTGATGACAGAGAAAATAGCAAAAATCAACAATTTTAAAATATCCTCACATTATAAACAAATCCTTTGAATTCCCTTCAAGAAACATTTATTTGGCCAACAGCTTCACTTTCCACCAAATTTAATTGAATGTTGTTAACATTTATCATTAGACATCCTACCTATTAACATACAAGCAAACTGGAACAAAAACATAACCTCCTTGACCTTGTGAAAATTAGAATTGGTCTATATTAAATGCAACCAACATTTTAAGATGCTAATATGCTCATACTTACATCCACGTCACTTTCTGCAACCTTGACAGGTTTCCCTGACTCCTTCAGCATCTGACTTCCAGCTACCTAAAGATTGCCAAACAAACATTTCCAGATGTTAGTTGTACAGTGAAACCATGTACCATGGTGCAATGGTGCTGAAATAAAGGAGATACAGAGCACATAGACAAGCTACAAACTACAGTATTACGAGGCTGAGACAGACTATCTGTGACACATTCTCTTCACCTCGTGTACATGACAATATGAGTGAGTTTTGGAACACAAAATCAGCTCTTGCCATGAAGATCACAATGGCTATGGAGAGTTTGAACCCCTGCACAAATTGTCTTATCCATAAAACATCTGTACACAATGTCCCCTCAAAAAAGTTGCAGTTTTTTTTGTGAAGAGGAAAATATTTGTTTTAGGAACACACCATGGACTGCCTCAGTTCAGGTGCTCACTGTGAGTTTTACTGGGGTTGCCGACAGGGTTCTACGGTGCTAGAATAACCTCCTGAAACACTAGAAAAACTAAAATAGAGCACGTGCAAATTTAACAATGAGAAAATCTAATTTCACTGATCTTCACAGCTCTTTTGGAAATTATTAGTTCAGAACTAATGTGCTCCTTTTTGGAAAAAAGTAAAGACATAACACAGTAGAGCCCTGTGTTATTGTCAAGGAGGTGCAGCGTTTCAGAGACGATGGTAGAAGCAGCTGGCTTTTCAACCACCGGGCCACAGCCACAACACATGCACTGCCGAGCCATCCCATGCCCACTTTTCAACAGCATCGTCAACATCACCACATAGGAGGGGAGTGGATAGGTCAAAGATCACGTGGAGATAAGACATTTGATGCCATTCAAGCCGTGAATGCGGTGCTGTAAGCGATGGGATGGTCTTTCTAGAACAGAGACTCTAGACTCTAAACACGTGAACACACACACTCACATACAGACTACACACATGCATCCCTACTCTGAACACTGTAGAAACATGCACAAGCATAAATGCACACACATACACACAATCACAGACACACTACATACAGCATTATATCTCTTTTTATAGGACAAATACTGGATACAGACATACACGCACACATACAGCTTACGTTCATTAGAGGCCTGAGAGGCCCAGCAGTGCAGTGCAGTAGTAAACTGTGAACTGCGAGGATCAGGGGCTCTAGAGCTCTGATCTGGGAGTCAAAATCACAAAGACACAGAGCCGCAGTCACAAAATGGCGGCTGCTTTCGTGAGTTGCTCCTAAAACCACACAAGATTTCAAAGACGGGGGGAATTTTGTCTCACACCGATGCCTGAACATCTCTGTTCGTAGCTGTGACACACGGTTCAACAGTTCAACATGGGCCAGTGAATTGGTTGTCAGTAAGAAACACCTAGTGTGTTAGTTTGAGCTAGGCACATCTCAAATCAGAAAAGGCCCAGCAGAAACAGAAATTAGAAAATATATTAACTTAAAATTAAAGCAGAAGGTTAAGTTTAAAATAACAGGAATCAGGGGAGGAACTCTGTTCATCTCTATATCTCACCTTTAGGTCCAGATACTCCAAGTCTTTCTTCAGCTGCATATATGTGTCATCAACCTAGAGGGCGACAAACATGTGAGTGTGGATTATTAATTTGTGTCAGTAGGAATTAAATAATTCACTATCTGAATCTAAAGAAGCTTCACTGACAATTCATCTAGTAGGGTGTAGTGACATCTGTGTGTGGTGTGAACTGTGTCTGTGCCAACATGCATCACAACCGACACTCACACATACAGTACAAATTCATTCATTTATCTTCCCGGGGATGCTCCTACTGCAACAAACAAAACACCAGCATCCATTAGAAGTAGCAGATCTTGAAACATTGCTGAATTCAGCTTTAATTCAGCTCACATCACTCAACAACAAAACAAACTGAAGTACGGTTGAAAATGAAAGATTCATAAATCAGAAGACCAAACTGACGGACACATCCACAGTCAGCCGGTTAGCCAAAGCATGGGATGGCTTTGTGGACTTACAAAAGTTAGCAGCACAACATGCTATGGACAGTGTCACTAGAAGCACGATATGTGAACTGACCAGCCAAGAACAGCAGATGGAAAAAGAGGCAGATGGTTCTGTAACGGTGAGGCCAGCGCTCACAGATTAACCATGCCTGATGTCACACCACTAAAGCACGGGAGCTTTTGGGTAGAGGTTGCCACTGATATACTGAGACTTTACTATTGATGAACATGCTGTTGTTTTAACTTTTGTGTTTTGGTTAGTCTTCATTTATCCTGGAACAGGTTATTTCACATGTATTTACAGTTGTGTACTACCAAGTACAGGATCAACTGGGGGTTACAGGTCTGGAATTTTGAAGTGTTGCTAATTTGAGCACCCAGGCACTAGCAGCTGGATGATCAGGGTAGACAAAACACAGTGATAAACAAATATGTCACTTAAAAGTTAAAGTGGAGGAACTTAACTGTTTTAACATCGCTTACAGCATCGTCTGTACTTCACAACCTGATTTGGCAGCAGCACAAGAGGCCATGCCAAGAGGTTAAACATCATTAGGATTCATTTCTAAGGACTAAGATTGCCCCCTTCCAATTTAATTTAAATCCAGAGGGTTTGTGAGGGTATGCTTAAAATGATTAGAATCAATCAATCGAGGAATGTCAAAAAATAAAAAAATTCATAGAAAGCCATCGAAATTGTTAGACCAAATGTTGGCTAGACAGATAGACAGACAGACAAATTGACCAACAAAGCTATCCAATAACAATGAATAATGGACACAAATAATTACATTTCTTGAAGATAAAGTTTGAAAGTTTAAATTATATGTTCCACGTATGAAATAAACGAAAATAACAAGAAACTAACTATGGTAGATCTGACGCAGCCCTGCAATATTTTTAATGGCAACCTCTACCAGACCATGGTAAAATGAGGGGCAGGCAGGCAGGCGTGCCGCGGGGAGCCCCACCTGGGTGTTGCAAGGGCCCAGGGGAGCCGAGAGCCCCACATGTCCGAGGTGGGACACAGGAGAAGGGCCGGAGCTGAGGATGGGGCTGGTGCTAGTGGTGGTAGTAGTGAGGAAGTGGTGGAAGGAATCTTTGGGACCATTGAGCCGCTGCAGTTTGGCTAACGTGTGCTGACGTGCGGAGGCCATCTTGGCCTGATGCCGGCGCAGCTGAATGAGGAACAGGGTGAGCTCCTCGGGCTGTCAGGCACCACAGGACATTAAATCTGGCATCAAAACTGACCACACCATACTTCAGTGAAACTTCTATTGTATGTAATCTAATTTAGGAGGATTAATGGTGAAACAAAAGGCAAAACTCACAGCAACACACTGTACATGATAGGCAGTGTCTCCCAAATGTTCCACTACAGCCATTTGGCTCGTGCCGACAAAAGGCTAATCAAGATTTGGTTACAGTATCTGTTAACATTTTGCTGTAGCGGGGAATGAATGCACTTCTGGTAACTGATTTCTTTAGTGTCTGGCGAACACATTGTAAAAAACATATTACTGAACTCTGGAAGCAGACTGTGCAAGGGAATTACACATCACTTCCAATACAGACCTCTTAAGCCTTCAAAGGTTAAGGTTTCTGCTCCAAGTTCCAAATAGTGAAAAAAAACAAGCACTCAATATAATTAAACCCATGCCTAAAGTAATGTTTGTTAAAATATTAATATAATTATACACTGAAGTGTATTTATTTAAGATTTATAAGACGTACCGTTTTGCCATGAAGGCTAGGTGCACTGACTGTGTGTGTGATGTAGCCAGATGGAGGCATTGACCGTCTCTCGAGAGTAGTGGCCTGACAACATATAAACAACACATTTTATATACACTGCTTGGACTTTAGAAAATAGCTTTTTTCGAATTATGGACAATGTGTGGTTTAGCAATTAAAGAACAAAAATGACACATAATAATCAAAATACTGAGGAATCTGCTATCATAACAAGTCCACATCACCAAAGGCTACAATTTTTGTTTTACATGACCTCAAATAAAAATACTGTATTTTCTATTATCTAAGGGCAAAAATATGTTACTTGTGATTTGAGGGAGAGTGGGCATATTTGTGTTTTTTTCACTCAAGTTCAAAAAAATATGCAAATACTAATGGAGCTGCTAATTTTCATCAGTTGCATAAATGTGACAAATGTATTTACATATACATAATAATAATTCAGTATAGTATATTGTATATTATATAGTGTTTATACATTTCAAAGATAGTTTACAGTACATGGTTTCTTTGCTGATACCGCTGAGGTAATTTATTAGACAGAATGCCTTAAGGATTTGTCTGTCATTGTACCCAAAGGCACTAAAACAATTATTCTGTTCAGTGGAGCACAGTTCCAACATGCACCCCACACTGTCAGAATGACTGACATTGTTCTGGATGAGAAACTATTCTGTTTGATATTTTGTACTTGACAGTGAAAAAAAAAACATGCAGTGACAACAGGAAATAATCTGTTGTCATCCATGCCATTGAATTGAATATGTCTTTTTGATTTACTGCTGAAACATGTATTACCTATGACAGTTTCTGGATTAAAGAGCAGAGGACCACGATCCACCCGGCCTGATCAACTGGACCAGACTCCACGGCAGGTTCAGGGATCGCTCAGTGGAGAGGAAAGAGAGCCGGGATAGGAGCCATGTTGGCCCAGCTTTGACTTAGGCTGCTCCTAAAAGTCCGGTCTGGACAATATGGGACTTGGCCAAGCAACGGAAATCAAAAACTGTTGTGCCTACATCTTTACAGAGACCTGCCCCATCAACATCGTGGATCATCAGCAGTTGGTCGGTGTTCCGAGCTTTCAGCGCAAGACTCCAGCAAGATGAGAGGAGGCAGACTCTGTATTTTACATCGATGATGCTTGGTGCTCAAACACAGTCAAGATGGACACTGCTTCCCAAATGTCAGACTTTTTTTTGTGAACATGAAACCATTTTATCATATTGTTTTCACGTTTTCCAAGGAAAACACTCCACTGGAGGGCAAAAAAGACGTTATTTTCCGCTGCCTGCCTGCCTGCTTTTGCGTTGCCAAAATGCTGGATGATTGTTGTGCTTTCGGATGCACTAATCAAGGAGGAGACAAGCCTGGGCTGGGTTAGGTGAGGGATTCCCCACAAGGTAAACCTAAACGTCACCACAGTCGAGCGGCAGCAGGGACCTGGTGGTTTTTAATGGTAGAAATGCGGAAGCGGATGCTGTAACGTTATATGGATCGGAAGTGCCCAACACTTGCAGTTTGTGTTCATATCTTTCTTTTTCTTAAGCTGAGGGGTGATCCGCTATGTTGGTCTGTTGTGTAGCCTATTGTTTTGTTTTATTTTATTTATTTTAAATGTTACTGTATTTTAATACACATTTAATTATTTAAGTTCTGTGTGTGTAGCATGAAGGGACTACAAACTTTTATTTCTTTATACAAACTTGTGTATAATGATAAATAAAAAACCATGTAACCTTTTAACCTTGATCAACAAAATACACATACATGCAACCATTACATTACCTAGCCTCCATACATTCTACAGCCTTTCTTCTATAACTCTCTTTTTCTCTTTTCTTGTATTATTACTTGCTTAAATGTTCTGGGTACACTTGAATATTTATCAGTTTACTGTAATTGTTGTTGCCTAGGATAAGATTGTGAGCTAAATGGCTAAAATGTAAATATGATGCCAAAAACACCAGCCTTGTCTGCTTACATCCAAATTACATCTCACTTGCCCATTGAAATTGTAGTGTTGTGTATGGGCAATTCTGTGCACAGTATGTATAAGAGAATACTAAAATGCTGTGTCCAGAGAAAGCTGGAGCAATATTAGATTTCTTTCATCTCTTGCACCTTTGGTATGAAGCATTACAGACCGTGCCTGGATTGTAAAACTGTATTATAGCATTCTTATAATGAATATGTAAGTTTTGTTTCAGTTAGTTACCTTGCGCCATTCAACAAACATGCAAGATAGCTGTTCTGCTTGTGTCAGACATTATTTTACCTTGAGCAGCTGAGATTTGGTCCTGCGGGGGGAAACAGCAAAGGGTATGTCCACCACTGATCTATCACCCACGGGCCTGACTGTCACCCGTTCAGCCGGCGTGTGCGGCCTGCGTGTGGGCGACAGGGTTCGGCTGGTGCCGGGTGGAGGCCCTGGTGGAGGGATGTCTGCAGATGAAGGTGGTACCGACACACACCGGGCCGGTCGTTCGGATCTAGATGCTGAGGAGGAGGGAGGCACAGTGGATGGAGGGCGTGGACCAAATGGGTACTCTGGGGCCGGAGTGTAGAGTGGTGCTGTGGGGCTGCCGTGACGGAACTGGTGGCGCTGCTGCCACTCGTATAGCTGCCAGACGGTGTTTGACCCTGGGCCAGCCTGCTCAGGGGTGAGGCGGAAGTGGCTGAGACGGTCCTGGGCATACTTGTACTCACCAAGTCGCGCGGGCAAGGGGCTCTGGCGAGGAGTCTTTGGCAGGGTCTGGTATGCGTCAATAGAGGTGAACTTGTGCTGGGTTGGTGGTGTGCGACGAGGGAGGGTGTTGTCTCTGGATGGGGGGCTGTTGAGTAGTAACAGCAGAACACAAAAGGATGTTTTTTTATTCAGAATATCTATAGATTTCAGAGAGGAAAACTTTAAGACTCATTTAATCTTACTTTGAATTTTATTTAATGATTAAGTAAGAAATTAAGCAATCTCATTTCTAGAGCTATAAATTGACTCTCAGTCAAGTAAATTATTTGTTCATATTATTTATCAGCGATAACAAGTTAAAAGAATTTCAATTTCTGAGTTCAGAAATAAAGCATTGTATTCACGTTCATGTTAGGTCTGCAAGCAAAGGTCACGAGAAGGAACTCTAAAATGTACTTATACACTACATACTGTAGCCCACATTAACTTATTAAACAACAAGGATTGTTTGCTGTGGTTGCCATGATGTTGTGGTAATCTACCTGTGTGCTGCATAGCTAGTTCAAAATCATGCTACAAAAATGTACTCTAAATATAAAGTACAGAAATAAAACATTTTAAAGAATATGTTTTTAACCATGTGTAGTTATATACAATAAAACAAATAATTATTTGTTTTTTTTATTTTCACAAAATACATATGACAGTGGCCTACCCTTTTTGCTCAGCCTTCTGCACTTGGACCCACTGCTCCACTTGCTCCAGAGCACTTCTCCTCTGCACCTGTTTGTGAGTGTCAGCAGAGGGCGGAGCTGGGGCCCTCTGGTATGTCCCAGCCGCAATCCCATTGGGCTCCAGGATGGGGCTAGGCGTAGAGACGAGGCCATTCCTCGTGCAAACACTGGATGGCAGTGTCGAGGCAGCCCGTGATGGTGCCCGGGATGGAACCCTGGACACGGGTGCTGAGGCAGACATGTGGTCTGGCTGTGGGATTACAGAGGGTGCAGGGTTGGAGGGGAGAGAAGTGTGTGTGTCCATCTCCAGGGCTGTACTTCCTATGGGGTGCTTCAACAAGGTGGTGGCAGGAGATTCTTTGTGGAAGCTGCAGTGTTCGTCTGAGTCGTGGTGTATGGGCTCCAGGAGAACTTCGTGGATGATGGGTCTTGTGGTCTCAGAGTCTGGGGTCTTGGTCTTATGATGGTTTAGGTGGTTTGTCTGCGGGACAGCATGCTGCTGAAACAAGTTCAACTTCTCTAACTTGTCAGATGGTCTGTGGAGAGCAGAGATTACATGAAACACTGTTATATAATAAATAATAATAATTTTATTCCTCAGAGTGAAAGGAGGGAAAGAAAAAGTGCAGAGTAGTCTGGAAAAGTAGGTGGGGAAGGTGAGTAGACAAATCAGGCACACCTGTGAGCTGGAGGAAGGGGAAAAACTAACAAAAGCGGCATGGAGGAGAACAGAAAGAGGAGTGAGAGTGGCTAAAGGAGCAGGTAACTAAAAGTCTTAATCCAGTTTCTTGTTTTTGTTGAACCTACAGAAGGTCAAGATAAGTCTCCTTTCCTACCAGGCGTCTCATATTCTCCTGCCTTAGTATAAATGTGCATTAACTTTTCTTTAACCCTCAAGCAAATTCAAATTCAATCTATTTGTGCACTGCCCTTTACCCTGCTCATTGCCTCCCTGGACAGAAGCCAATGAGACCCCTCCCACTTTTAAGTGAACTTAACTACATTCATTCTGGTTCAAAAGGACATACCAACTGTTTCCCACTTGAACTTAATATTCACACTCACAAAGATTATCTGGAGTCCTTATTTAATGTAAGGGACTGTGATTAACGGACATTTGATTTTCAAATTAGCACTCTGGATTAAAATGTGGCTTCTGTTGATTTATGAGTGAAATACTTTGTGGTTGATCAATAACCATTATTTGATTTGATTGCTTTGAGTTTATTTGGATTAATGATTTAACTGGTGATGAAGCTGAATGGATGGATTGTGTTTTCTTTTTATCCTGTTGTGTTCTTTTGTAGCAAGGGTAAAAAGATAAATGGATTGCCTCTTGTGAGAAGTTCCCCCAGAACACACAGAACAACCCATGACATCTCCCACAACCCCACCTGCATTCATAACAAACTGTTAAAATGGTAGAGTGTTTTAAATACCTTGCTATCATGCTAGACAATAACCTGAGTTTTGACCAACACACCACTGACATCCATAAAGAGACTCTCTGCCATCTGCAAACTTATAGCACTCTCTGCTACTGCTGTACAGGAGCATGGTCCAACACCGTTCTCCTATGCTGTTCCTGTGCTGTTTGGGGGCGGCTGTGGCTCAGGAGGTAGAGCGGGTTGGCCGTTAATCGGAAGGTGGTTCAATCCCTGGCTCCCCTGGTTGCGTGTCGAAGTGTCCTTGGGCAAGATACTGAACTTGTCTACTGAAGTGAGTGTGAATGTTAGTTTCCGTTTGAGCACTCAGTGTATGAATGTGTGTGACTGTAGTGTAAAAGCGCTTTGAGTGGTCGAAAAGACTAGAAAGGCGCTATACAAGTACGGAGCATTTACATTTGTTCCTCCGTTTCTCTAAATATAGTATCTGGAACCAATAGAAACAAACTCAGATGGATGCAGATACGGGTCCCCTACAGTACAAGTTTTGTGCCTTTCGCCATAGCATCCTTAAAATGAATCTCCCCACCGGTAACTGTTATGTGTGCTGTGTTTGCCTTATGCTTACTGTATGTGTATGTTTGCTTGTGAAGCCATGTTCAGACTGTAAAGACAAATCTCCCCTGCTGACAATAAAGACTATCAATCCATCTATCTATCTATGACAGGTTTTGGTTTTGACAGTTTGATTACTGTCTGGCACCCAACTCTTACTTTGAATATTTGTATAAACCTATGCCACAAGAAAACAGTTATCTTGATCAATTCTACTTCATTTGATCACTTCTGATATCCCATGGATCTCATGTTCCACCATTTCATCTTTATTCTGTTGTGTTCTGTTGTGCTGATCTGAAGTTGAACTAGAAAACTGTCACATAAAATACAAACTTTTAGCCTCATCACAACTTTAAGAAGATGGCTGAATAAACCATACAGCCCATTTTAAAGCTACTGTAGTCTTGTGGGATTTCCCCTTGCAAAAACAAATAAACTGAAAATGAAAGAGTACGAGCTACGGGTGTCTGAGGCTGCCAGTGAATGATAGGACGTATTTGATCTGTGCCACCTCCCCTTGTCAACACATAAATAAAACATGGCAAAAGCGGCAGCTTGTTCAAAAATAGCATTTCACAACATCAGAATATACTCTTTGAAACGCTCACAGAAAAGTGGGATGTTTATTCAGGAATCAGTGTCATCTATAGTGAGCAAGTAAGTCCTTACGAGATATAACAACTAGAGCTATCACATTACAGTACATTATCAAATGCTGTTATGTCACACAATTGCTTAGCACATACAATGTTTTATGGATTGCACAATACAATATGCTTGGCACAGAAGATGGACTGATAGAAGATGAACATTTTACGGTAATCAGTGTTGTAGTTCTCTGTATCGTCTATATTTGACTAAATTACACATATGGACTCTGTTGAGTCCACTAGCAATTCTTAGCGAAAATCCCAATTAGGGATGGGACAATAATCAACTTTATATCTCAAAAAAAGTGTTAATTTTAAGTAATAAAAATACTGGTTAGAAACACAAGGGGGGGGCTCATGGCGTAAGGTGGATAAATCAATGTTGTGTCAGTATTAAAAGAAAAAAGTAATGATATGAAAATGATTGAATGAAGTTATTTTTATGAAACATTAGCAGGCTGAATCTACTCATATACTCTCTACTATGTTGCTGGTATTCTACAGCTGCCTGGTTTTGGACAATGAATGCTTATAAGGTGTTTAATTAGTTCAATGAGATGTTCTGTGTGTGTGTAGCCCTACCTGATGAGTCTGTCGGCGTGGTTCTGCATCAGTGTAGCCTGGTTCATGGCCCTCAGCCAGGTGTTCATGTCCTCCTGGGTGTCAGCGCTGAAGTAATACGTCCGCATCCCAGTGTGTTCCGCCTGCGAGCCAATCACAGAGCTCTGCATGTAAATGTACGAGCGCATACCAGTGTGGCTAGCCTGAAGGGAAAGAGAAGAGGCTAGGTCAGTGTCGGGTTCAGACAGACAGAAATCCGTCGCAAGACAGTGCGTACATCAGCCTCAGCTTTGGGCAAAGAGACAGGGAGATATCATGCTGTCCAACAAGAGAAACAACATCAAGGGCCACATAAGCATTGACCAATACACAGAGAGCAACTGAAGTAACCACAGAATAGAAATACAGAGACAAAAATGCCAGCCAGTTACAACCAACAAAGCCACAACTTTTGACCAATGAGAGGAAAGATTCTTCAATACAATGGAAAATAGAAAATATGTGCGTCACACAGAGTCTCCTCACAAACCTGTTTTTTCCTGTTATTACAGCTTAGAAACCTACTAAGAAAATTTAAAGGGTTAAACAGCAGTTTATAAACAAACAGCAACGATATAATAGTGTTTCATTTATGCTTGCTATATTTTTAACAGTTTGGCTCACAAAATTTGGAAGTAACATCAATTACAGTTGTATGGTATGAGAAAAAGAATCTCTGCAAGAAGGCAGTGTGAAATGCAAGCCTGATTAGATTCCACACCATGACATGGTAATTGTACTCTTGGATTTAAGTGCCGAGCTCATGACAGGAATATTCAAATTCAAGACGGATATTTCTTTGTATGCACAGAAAAAAATTACTCAGGTGTGACAATCAAGAGCACATCGGCACCATTTCGTCACTGGGCAGGATTTAATGACGCAGTATCTAAAATAATTGTTTAATATCTGTACTATACTAAAGAGAAAATTTAAAGTGGGATATCGCAGAACCATTTCAAGCAGAGCCAAAAACAGGCAAGACACATACTCAATAATACTATAGGTCTAATAATATAAACTGTAGTCTTTGCACCAGTAGAAGAAGCTATGTAACAGGTTACTCACACATTATCTTGTCTTACTGATTGATGTTTAACTGCATACTATATATCAATATTAGGATTCTATCAATTTTGCCATTTTAAAGCCTGCTTAAAGTCCTCTGTGATACATCACCAATCTGTGTTCGTTGTATTCCAATACTTAATTTATGTTTTAAAGATGTACTTATCCATTTATTGTGTTAACAATGGATAAAATCAGAGTGACAAACTTTGATATTATAACTACTGATATTATTACTTTGGTTTTATAGCCAGCAAACACAGATCAACCTGATCAACCTCGTTTGCAGCTGTATCAGGTGACCAGAAAGACTTGCTCCTTGTCTAGTAAATGTGTAAATTAGTAACTGTTTGATGACACGTTCACTTTACCACTTTATAAGGTGATAATAGTTCAATGTTGTGTTTAGGGCTTACAAGTGGCCATACAATCAATTAATGCAGCTTTCACTGATTATTTACAACAACAATTTCCCACATTTCCCAGAGTGCCTTTCTCTTTATCCCAGCAAACACATGAGAAGTAGTTATATTCAAACGTTTACTCTGTTTGTATAGGTGGAGAGAGCAGTATTACTAGCAATAGCGCAGTAACTGCAGGAAAGGAGAGAGAGTTGAAGAATAGTGTGAGCTGTTTTTTCCCCTCAAAATTCAACATGTTTCTGGCTACACTGCATTTTGGTCTACTGAGACTATCATCAGTAGAGAAGTAGGTATCTTTAGAAGTTTGTTGAACTTTGCGAGTCTAGAGAGAAGCCTTGAGAAGCTGACACAGAGACTATCACTGTTTGATAAATCATATAGTCAGAAAATATTCCTGCTACTGAACTTGTTTTTAGCTGTGCTGAAAATATCTCAACAGGATGTCACTGATATTATAATTGGCTAGCTATCCACCAGGATAATACAACACACCATCAAACAGCAGAACTGGCCAATAAATTCAAGGAACAGTACATCACTACATCAATAGCTGTTTTTTAATTAACACCATCTAAATGTTTTGTATCCTTGATAATGATGCCCTTGCTATGGAAGTGGGGTTATTAGGGGCCCTTTTAACGTGAGAGGCACTCCATTGAGCACGGCAGAACTTTATAAATGTCCTACTTTTCCCTTTCCTTCCTTCCTTCATTCAGTGTGGTTGTTGGGATTTGGAAGACAAATGAGAGAACCCACTCAACAACAGATGCATGCAAATGAAAAGCAATTAAACATTAAATCTTCCCTATCCTAATTCATTCACTGAATAATGAATGCAGGATAATAAGTGTATGTGGAGTGTTGGGGTGGGATCCACTGCGGCTGCAACACCATCATTCCACTGCGATTTCTTTATTTGGTTTATATTTTGATAAAATCAGTGCAATTCCTCAGCAATTCGGCTTCTTGTCTGCATCAGCATGACAGTCAGAAACACACAAACCACCACATCCACTTGTGTAGTGTAATGTAAACACTAAACAAGTCCATGAATAATACAAACACAGACTGTCACCGCTGCTGTTCTATCTCTGTTACTATAAACTCTGAATAAACCCTAGCACACAGATGCAGACATGTACACAAACAAACATAAATGCTCCCATTCCTACATCCCTCCCAGGTTCCCTAACAGCTTACTAAGTCACCTCCCTCCTGAAAGCACTGCCGTCTGGCTGCTTAAACAAGCTCATCTCAGTGGCTGCTGCTGTGCACTGATAAAACGTCTTAAAATATAATTTCCTCACTCACTGTGCTTCAGTATCTACTTGACCCTGATCCTGGTATGTATTTTAAGATCTGTGTGTTGATTGCACCACTCACTTGATTTGTCCAAGTCCAGATAATCTTGTGCACTAGCTCTTTGGTGGTGCCCAGTTAGATGGGGAGTATGCATGTCTGCACTAAGTAACTATTACTGATTCTGTTTGGAGGTGAGCAGAGCTTGATAATGTCCACAGCAATGGTTTTTATTGTTTAAGATTATTCTAATGTGGCGACTGATGGTAAAATATTACATTTAGTGCCTTTAAATGAGTGCAATTCCACCTAATGTACAGTGGGTTTCAAGGCTACAGTCGTGCTGATTTTAGTTTCTAAAAGCGAGTTCACATTATTTTCCTGACATGCCAGGTATTTATTCCACATTAGATGTACTGATTGAGCAGAAACATGCAATAATTAATGAATGTGATATTTGGTTTTCAATCATGTACAGGGATATGCAGGTTTGCATTATAACCAAACACTACGGCAGCAGATTCCACTGATTACTTTATGTATTGTAATACTACCAACACTGTAACTACTGTGAAATCTGTAATCACTGTGTAAAACTGCATTTAAAACCTTTATTAGTAAAAAGATACCTAATTAAAGCCATCATACCTTGCAAATAATATGCGTAAATATGCTAATATACCTAAAACTTGGTACAATACACACTGCAAACAATAAGTTGCTCTATCTGTGGGAGAAACTCACTAGTTTCATCTATTATTTCTCATTTAGGTAGGTAGGTAGCATGGTTTATTGTCACAATATCACAAGTTATATGAGTGAAATTGTGTTCTGTAACTCCCGTCTGTTACATAGCAGAAAATATTACATTAATACAGAATCAATTATAAAAAATAAAAATAAAATAAAAAAGGGAAAAAGAAATAAACTATAATTAGTGGACAAGTTCTGAGAATTAATTAGAGATTTAGATTTAAAAATCCCAATAAACTGACACCCCATTTTAGCTCTACTGGTTAAAGCTACAACCCAGAAAAGTCATAACTGCGTAATTAAGATGACATGTTTCCAAACCCTGTATTTGACAGAAGCCAGAGAACACAGTTGGGTTGGGAGAATACTGCAAACCTGACAACACAGGCCATACTACATGCATGTATTATGTCTGCATTATCCAGTGTTTGTAAACTGCATTGTTCTTCTTTGTGCTCATGGAGTCATGTTGTGTGCTGTGTGTATCTGCTCACTTAATTCAGCTGCAGTAATGTTTGGTTAAAATGAAAGTCTGCAGACACTTTGACCCTACCCAGAGGAAACAACAGATGTAGAGCATACACATGGCTCAGTCAGCCTATCACTGTCAGGCACGGAGATGTGTTTAGATACATTAGAGGACATAAAACAGGCGGGGAAACTAGTTAGCAACCTCTGAAAAACACCCTAAAAATCTTGACGAAAGGAATAAGAGCATCCTCAGGAAGCAGCTGTCAAAACATGCCTGCTCACTCACCATCAGCTCTGTGTCAGACAGCCTCTAACAGCTACAATGGTACAGGCTTCTTGATGAGAGACAGAGGACTGCTCTGCTAGTCAGATGTTTAGGCACGTGCAGAGATATTGTCATGCATATGCAGTGAACATACACACAGTACAGAGATACACACATCTGTACTGCACTATGTTGAATAAACTGAATTCAAACCCATAATCTTAAACACAGAAACTTTAACCAAAGACTAAACCTACCTCTAATTTTACACTAATTCTAAATCCTATTCCTATAGTGTATTGGAGTGACTGGCTGAAAATTTCTTCACATTGAAGATAATGTCACATCTATGCGAACTATACCAGGCCATATACATGTTTAAAAGGCCTGTTTTCAATCTAATGTCACAAGCTATGATTTTTCCCTATGTTAGTTACATCAGAACACACAGACACACACACAATAGTGACAAATTCAACACACACCACCGGTGGTCTAAAATAACATTAGGAGACTCTGCCTCTCTTTAGCAGGAATGCTGAGTGGGTCATTCAGCTCTGAGTGCGTGACCGACACACCTACGCACCAAATCCATTCTCAGCTAAACCTTTTTTCTCCTCTTGGTGGTCTGTGTCTGTGTGGGAGTTGGTGGCAGTTTTAAGGGTGTTCCTGATTATTTGTTTTCTCCTCTACATTGTTTAATGATGCTTTATGGAAAAATATAAAAAGTCCCACTTGCCATTTCTTTCTGCCCTCTGTTTCACCGCGACTAGCCCTCATGGCTTCCTTCCTCTCCACCTATCGCTTATTTTCCAGCCCTAATCACTTCCTTCCCTTTCTGCGTTCTCTCTCCTTCAGCCTCTCTTTTCTGCAAAATGAAAAATATCACTCACTTCCACTTGCACTCAGAAAGACTTACAATAGTGTCGGCTCTTTTCCTGTGGACAGCCCCTTACAAACATACACAGTCTTTGTCCTGGCGCTATTTAAAGAGTCATTGTGCTCATGAAGATAAGCCTCAGCAGCCAGAGTGCCACAAAGCTTCTGATAAGGTACAATCTCCTAAATTTGCAACTGTAGAAATTGAAATTATACTGAAAAACACCCAAATGGAGTCTACAGTGCTGGTGTCTCTATTTTAAATTGTCCTGCTTTTAGAAAAAAAATCAGTGTTTCTACTCTCTCACTGTGAAAAAAAAATCCTGTTAGGAAGATAGAATATAACATGTTTCTGTACTTCAAAGTTCCTGTTGCAACATCTGCTTTGGATAAATCAACATTTGAGTCACCGTGAGGTTGCACAGCCTGCATCTGCAGTGAAAGTATCTCCTACAGCAAACATTATTTTTCCGCTCTTCTTTTCTGGAAGGTGGTGAGGTGATGTGATGCAAGTTCCAAATAACAAAGTGAAGTTTTTCTCCACACCATCGGAAAACTGCATGCTGGTACAGTAGTGTGACAGATGGAGAAGACAGCAAGAGCAGCACATAGATGAACGATAAGCCCCACACCAGATAAGCCAAATACAAAGATTCATATTGCGATAACGAGGATGGGGTGAGGGACAGAGAGGAGGAGGGGAAAAAAACAGAGGGGGAATTAAATAAGACAAAGTACACTGAAAGAAAAAACAACACCAACACTTCAGGCACAAGGACATGTTATTCTCAAAACATGCATCAAAAACCAGCATAGGAATATACAAGGCCGCTGTATATTCTGTCATGTTTGGACCAAAAAAGCCACACCAACGGTAGACAACAAGGATATATAGCGTTTACATCTCGCAAAGTGAGAGCACATGAGAGGGTAGAGTACCTATTTATGGGAGGACTGTCACTGGACGACTCGACACACTCACAAGGAGGGATGGAAGTCCCACTCGGGCAGCCAACCAATTGGAACAAGAGAGGGAAGAGGATTTGGTGAAAAGGGGAAGAGGGTAGAGGGTGGGAGGTTGTCGAAGCTTGAAGGTTTACTTTGTGGGGTCATGATGTGTATAGGTTGATTTGGTAGTCAACGGGTGCAGCATTCATACACTCAAACACCATTATATAATACCCACCCCATCAGGCTTGCTCGGGTTGCTAATGGTTCCTGCTGGTGTGGGTTACAGACAGCATAGCAGCATTTTTAATGATTTCATATATGAGTTTGTTTAAACCTGCTTTGACTACCAGATTGTCAGCGTTTACTGCAGAAGGGCATTTATTACTCTCAAGCAGATGGGTTACTTTTCTGTGGTAGAAACTTGGGTTTTAGTTTATCTCAGACATTCACTGCCCTCTCTGGCTAAAAGTCTGTTTACCTCTGCCAGCACCCTGCATCACTTAGGGGCATAATTGGTCATCAGAAGTGTGAGGCATAACCCTAACACTAGTGATGTCACTTTGTACTGACCACACCCTGGAGTACACTTCTACATCACTGCAGCAAGGTGAGAAGGGGAGGTCAGCAAAAACAAGATTTTAAAAGGTTGAAACTAAATAAAACAGAAGAGAAGAGAGGCGTACACACTTCATAAAGCAACAGCCATAATTCACATTCCTGACCATGATGCAAGTATAATATTGTTGATCTTTATTACCTAATAAAATTTAACAGGAACTCTGTGAATGTGAAATAGTGAATTGCATTATTTTTTCCTCTTCATTCCCTCATTGCCAGGCTTAAGATGTCTCAAAATCATATATTTTAGACTTCACCATGCAATTACATTTAATGGATTGTGAAAAACATGATTTCCCTCTACCCATCAAGGACAAACCGATGAGGATGGTATATATTTAGACTTATATCATAGCCAGGAACATTATACATGCATAATCTACAATACAGGTTCTAACAATGTTCAGCAACTTTCTACTTTAAACTGCCAAGTGTGCAAGTGTGCTGTTGACAGAAAAGTGTCTGACCGCAGTTATGAATGAGATGGAAAGGTTCTAATCTCCACAACCCTGCCCATGTTACCTTCCTCCTGGGTAGCTCCCACTTAGTCCTGGGACCTGACTTGCCTAGCTTAACAACTTTTGATGTCTTTCATTCCTCCCTGATGTTCCCTACCTCTTCCTGGATCACGGTGCACCTGTCCTGCTATGCTAACTTTTTCCCACTGCTTAAAATGCCTCGGGCCAAGGCTTTGCCTTCCAGAGCACTGAATGCCGATAATGTGGTGCAGCTTGGGAGAGATAGTTGCCTGGTTTATGGCTGAGTCCCTTTTGCTACCTGATCTTGTTGCAACTCCGGCTCGGTGCCCACAAGGATGCTTCTAGTCTCTTGATGTTAGCAGAGCTCTACACTTGACCACTTTAAATTTTTCCACCGCTGATGATGATGAAATCTGTAGCTGGCCTAATCTAATGTATGAGACCCACAGAGGAAAAGCTTGGGGGAACGCCTAACCATGTCTTCAAGTGCTTGTTTATTTTCCTCTCCATGGGGTCATTAATTAGGATTAAATTTTTATGCACTAGGTCTATTGGAAGATACCCAACTTGTCCATGTTACAATGACTACAAATTGACCATTAGTGAAACGTAACATGTTTAATTTTTAGTGTTAAATATTTAATGTTTAAGAATGTTGGCATAGTGTCTAGGTATTTTAATATCTAGACACTATGCCAACATTCTCATCCAAAGATCTTTAAGCTGTGAGAAGGTAGAGGATCTGTGTCTAGCTCACAGATAGATCAGGGAACATGGCTATGCAGCTGCTGCTTCTGCTGCTGCCATCAAACCTATGACCTTTTGGTCCCAATGCTTTTGTTCAACAACTAGGCATGTTATAAACCAGATTAGACCTGAAAACCTTTTGTATATACAGTATCAGTACATGCATTCACATTTTTAAGCTATGAATAAAAGCCTATATGTACAGTATATGTGGGAGACTCTGTTGTGGGTGCTGTACAGTATGTATGCCGCTTAACTTCACATGTGTCGGGATTGACTCAAAAAAGACTTGTGCCTCAGTGAATGGAAAAACTTCATTCCATTCCTGAGGAGCATGTCTGTCTCAATAAAGACACTGACAGACATAGTAATAGACATCGCCACAACAGGTGGTGAGCGCTCCACAAAGCTGAGTGGTGGCTGGGCGGGTAGGTACTAGGCATGGTTATGATTATAGAAAAATGTTGATCTGTTGAACATTTTAAAAGGAAAAATATTCTAGATTTTTCGGTAATTGCCAATTAGTTTTAGTGATAAGACATGCTGTCATTGTTCCAGTTATAAAAGGTACTCAGAAACAACTCTTCAACGCCACACAAACAGAAAGGTTTGTTCAAAAGAGATTGTACAATGTTAAGTACATTACTCATAAATTATCCTTGATAATTAGGCCTGGGGCTAATAGTCATGTGCCACCCAAACTGCTGGTCAACATACAACAGGTGTTACGGTAGCATTATGTTGTATAGAGGCAGCAGGTTTTTAGCTGGAAAGTAACATGTATTGCTTCTAATGAATGTCTCTGTCATCAACAACGTCACTAAGTGGAAATTCTCATTAAAAGTGCTTTTAATAGCATGAGGGATATACATTTTAGCATATATGCCTAAAATAGGAATCCTTCAGTCACTAATCATATTCTACAAAATCAACAGGATCAAATAAACTTTAAAGTAGTGCAAAGAATAGCAATGCACTTATGTACAAGTTTTTAGTCAAATTAGCTTTAACCGAAGCTTTGTTTTTATTCCTTGTGTGGCTTGAATTTTAAAGTTTACATGGACGTGTTCGATCTAGGTGTCGTTACCATATGGCAAATGACAATTGTGAAAAATACATTAAACTCATATGCTTGCAAATGATCAATCAATCGGTGCTGCATTTGTTAATTTCAAGAGCAATCATTCCTTGTTTTGTTTTTTAATCCAATAGCATAAAATAGGTGGCTACACACACACACAAACTTCATTGCACCCGCCAAAAAATCACATCTGAGAAAGGATAAAGTAATTCAAGATATGAATCAACATAGAGTAGTCTGTAGAACAATGAGAGGCATACCTTAAAGGCATACTTGCGGCTGATGTGGTCCTCAGGTCCCACAGGTGAAATGATATAACTGGGCAAAGGAATACTGCCTAGGACCGATTCCTCTCTGCTGTCTGTGGAGAGAGACAGATAGAGAAAGAGAGAGAGCAAGAGGGAGATGGCAGGAGGAATGGGGAAGAGAAAGGGAGGGAGGGAGTAGATAATCAGGGTGAGGAAGGTGAGAAAAGGAGTGAGAGAGATATGGAGGAAAGGAAAGAGCAACAAAATAAATATCACTCATCACCCACTAATTTCATCACTGCCTGCCACCAGTATCATAACACTCACATACACACTCTCACTCATGTGTTGTCATTCATACCACAGTGTTGTGCCAAACAGTAAATGACCACTCTGGTATCCCAGTGTCACAGAGCTAAAGCTGTCCTGGTCCAACTGGCAGCCAGCCGCCATTCCTCTGTGCCCCTTCGGGTTTACATGCTGACATCACACACACACACACACACACACACACACACACACACACTTCTATATTTGAAAGGACCCTCATTGACATAATGCAGTCCTTAATCTTTTACCTTAACCTAAACCTAAAGTCCGTTGAAGAAGAGAAGACTGCTTACAATGTCCTCACTTTGCAAAACCAACCTTACTCTCAAGGTCTGAAATTCAAATTGGTCCTCACAAATAGTACAAACACAAACACGCATATGCAACCACATTATGTTCTATCTTAATGACTTCACACATCTATAAATAAATAGCTACAGAGTTTTTGTTTTCTGCTGAACATTGTGGCAGCATGCTAGAAAGTGTGTGTGCATGTGTGTGTATGTGTGTGTACACAAATAATACCTCAATGTAAAATTTAGTATTGGTATGAGAATATGTGTGCACAGCACCTGCACGAGTGTGTGGGTGTTTGGCTGAGAGGTGATAAGACAGCACAGTGGATTAAAGGGGTAATTGGTTAAAAATAATTCAAGGACCTTTGGAGGAGACATTCCCTAAATGGTGGGTGAGACGGTGAGGTCTTTTTTATCTGCTTTGCCCCGTCTGTCTCACTCACACAAACAAACACACACACACACATTGAGCAGACTAGACCATGACAAGGGAAGCAAGATAACACCCAAACAGCACAAGAACGGTAGTATTTTGTCACTCTATTCTGTCCATTTTTTTCCCTGTTAAAAGGTTTGTCCATATCAGATTTAAGTGCCTAAGAATAGAGGGTGTCATATGCTGTTGTATGTTATATAGACCGTAAAGCCCCTTGAGGCAAATTTGTTATATTGTGATATAAAACTGACTTGACACAGGTGGTAAAAGAAATGAGAGGGTGAAACCAGGGATGAATCAATTGCAGACAATCTAACAATTATTGTCATTATCGATTAATCTCCAGATTAATTTCTTGATCTATCTAATTAAGTGTTCTGTCAATAAGATAATTTCCCAGGACCCACTGTGTCATCTCCAAATTAGTTTTATCTGACCATCAGTCTAAAAACCTGAAGAAAGTGGATTTCCTGTCTTATCTGACGAAGCCTGAAAATATTTAAATAGTTGCTAATTCATTGTCTATTGATTAGTTTTTCCTCAATCGCTTTAGTACACTTCACAGATCAGAATTGAAATTATCAAAACTGCACCTCATCTCATCACTTGTGCACATCATAAAAGCAATTTCTCATTGTTTTGAACAAATTGCAAATGCTTTGACACATTGATGCAAATGATTATGTAAAATTGTCTGCTGTTTCCAACATTACCAATTGCTTGTGTCATTCTGATCACAATGTATTACACCGGTTCTCTGTTGAATGGTCTTAACCCTCAAAACATCTAGGCAGTAGTTCATTGCGTTAGTCATTAGATGTAAAAAGGCTGAACACGTTGTCAAAATCCAAGTTAATAAAGTCAAACTTTATTGCAATTCTTCGCATACAAGTATGCAAAATGTTGTTTCGTACAGACCATGGTGCATAGACAAAATAAGAATAGACAACAACATCAGCCTAAGGGGTGTTTCCCATGTTTACATTTCTAATTTTGTATTTTTTTCCGTTGTGCTATGCAGTGCTGTAAAACATTCAAGGCCTTTCTTTTCTGCAATGACATGCTCTGTCAACAAATTACAGAACAAACAGTAAAAGGGTAACTGTGAATCCTGTACAATCTCTTGTTAGCAATGTGTTACTTTACTTTTTACTGTTGAAATTGATATGCCTTATTGAAAAAGTGCAACCTTGTGCATTCTCAATCATTGCCATCAAAATGTTGGCCATAGTTTACATCAGAAAACACTTACAGAGTACACTGTTATATTTATAACATGGCTAAACATTTTGACTATGTTGTTCGTAAACAATTACACAAGAACTGTTTTGATCTGATCACTGACAGAAATATTTACTTTTGAGACAGACTAAGGATTTTGAGCAAGTTGCAGGCTTTTGCAGGTAAACCACTGTGTTGTGCTGTTTGTACGATATGTTTTGAGAAATGCACTTACTGTTTTGCAAATGTTAAGGATGATTTGAGAAATGTACCAAAGCGAGTGAGAAAAACTGTAATACGCAAAATGCTTCAGCTCTAATTGTATAAATTCAGTTAACAGTTCTGCCTGCCAACCTTCCTGTCTTATTTTTTTTGGTTTCTTGTTTGTATTTCTGGCTAAGGTTTTGTCTACAACTACTGAAATCATCCTTTAATATACAATGTGGAAGTTTATAATTTTAAAATGTTAACACCAGGCTTTTACAATTCCCAGAAAAACTAACAAGGACATGACCTCTACAGCCCTGACAGAAACCATCAAAAAACCAATGTAATAAGAAAAAAAGCGAAGACAACGAGAGGAGGTTTGGTTATTTGTGTAAAAACAAGAGATGAAGGGAGGAGGGATAAGTGATGCTGGAGACAGATCAAGTGTTCACATGTTGAGAGGAGAAACCTTTGAACTGAGAGAGAAAGACAAGAGAGAGAAAAGAGAGAAAAAGAAACAACAGAGAATTGATTTTATCCTCCTGTCAAGGCGAGGAGGCAGATGACGAGGTGTCCAAAAAGGTTGGGTTAAGAATATGGAGATGAAAAAGAAAGGCGTGGAGAGGCAGATCAAGACAGCCGGAGGATGGAAACTAATGGTGAGGGAGGGATGCAGCTGTGTGTGTGTGTGTGTGTGTGTGTGTGTGTGTGTGTGTGTGTGTCCCCATATATTTCCACGCGTTTGAGCTGTAACCCACCGAGAAAGATCAGATTAATGCTCGCTGAGATTGAATCACCCGCTCCTTTGTCAGCTGCAGTTTACTTCAAATCTACCATCACCAGAGTCTAATTCAAACTTCTGAAATTCGTCCAAACCTTTTTGCTTGAAAGCTGTCATATTTCCATTATACATATTTATTTTTTCCTCCTTTGGTGATGTGTATTTCCATCAATTTAAAGACAAGAAAAGAAAAGAAATAAAAAGGTATGTGTGATTTTGTTTCTAGTTTTCTCAGGCAAGTTTTTGATGCTGGTGGAGATCGTTCAAAGTGAGGACCTCAACTTTAACATTAAAGGTGCTTTCAAACAGTGAGCACATTTTGTCTATTTACTATGCTCAAGGTCAAGATTTAATATTCACACTGAATAGTCTTCTTGGAATTTATGAAGCATAATTCCCACAATGCCTTAAGTCGGCAAAAAGAAATGATCGGGAATAAAGACACACTACCACAGAAGCATAGGGATTTGGGATTTTTCCTCAAAAAAACAAAAAAACATTGTTGAAGCCAAGGTTTGGATAGATATGTGCTAATAACTAAGATTACTCAACAGTGAATTCCACTTTTTCTTGGTAGCAAAATCTTAGGCGATTTATTTTTCAAACAACACCAGTGAGACACCCATAGACCATTATGCAGTCCAATACAATAGCCATTCAAAAGATCCTACATGTGTGAAGCTTATAACATTCAGGTTTTATTGAGACTTTCTGAAAGGTGTTTATTCAACGCTATGGTAATTTTAAAAGACTGTGGAGGAGTTGGTCTTTTGAATTGTATTCTATTTTAAAGTGCTTCTGTAATTTTGTCCTTGCCTGAATGTATGATTGTGGGGGAGTGGAAAACACGAAGAGGCAGGAGGCGGAACAGGTAGCGAGTGGGAATTTTAATCATTTTGTCCACGTGCTATGTCCAGTCGACAAAGATAAACCTTTTTCTTGAACAACGACTCACCTTTGTAGTAGAACAGACAGAAATCAGCCAAGACGAACCACTTCCTCTTCCAAAGACGCATCCCAGAACTGTCCTGCAGAGAGATAGAGGGATAAAGAGTGTAAGTAATGAATGAAAAGATAATAAGACAGAAAGTAGCACAGATCGTTGGAGATAACAAGAATGCATAGACAAGATATCTTAAATAGGAAGAGAGGGGGGATGGGGGATGAGAAAATGAAGGGAGCGTTAGAGATAGAAAAAAGTAGCGAGGGAGAGCGGATACAGTCAGGAAACAAGTAATGAAAGGAAAAGTGAGGTGGACATGAGCAGAGATAAAGAGAGTGAACTGGAGAGAAAGGGAGGAAGGGAGAGATCATTTGTCCTTGTTCACTGGCTCGCTGGGCCTGCCACGGCTGCTTTACTGCCCGTTTTGTCTTTTATGTTCTCTGGCTGAAAATGGTGCTGTTTGAAGAGAAGAGGAGATCCAGAAGGGATGAAATCAACCCAAGCACAAATATATGCTTCTCCTTTGGCTAAGAATGTATGAGCATGTATATGTGTATATTTATGTGCATGTGGTTGTGCCTATAAATGTGTGCCCTTGCCAGCATTTAAAAGATTTTTTTAAATTAAAATTTGATTGCACTGCATAGACTAAGTTCATATGCGCATCTGTGGCTATGCATTCCTGCCTGTGCCTGTGTGTATTTGTGTGTACGTGCCTCTGTGTGTGGTCATTAAAATATAATTGCTTTGCAGTAACATCACTCACTGTTTGTCTTGTACTGAGGGCCAAGCCCTTTCCAGTGGGACGATGCCAACTACAGATATTTTAAGTATAACTATACAAATACAGTACAGTAATAGCATGTCTATGATCAACAGCGGGTGCTCTATATTGTCAAAGCAAAAAAACTTGAATCAAGAAAAAATAAAACCAGGCCACCGGAAGAAATGTTACAGGACCATGCAGGCTGAAGCTGGAACTCATCCATGTAGCGTGTTAAAGAGACACGAACAGGCTGTCAATCAGGAACGTATATACACTGCTCAAAAAAATAAAGGGAACACTTAAACAACACAGCGTAACTCCTAATCAATCACACTCCTGTGAAATCAAACTGTCCACTTAGGAAGCAACACTGATTGACAATCAATTTCACATGCTGTTGTGCAAATGGAATAGACAATTATAGGCGATTAGCAAGACACCCCCAATAAAGGAGTGGTTCTGCAGGTGGTGACCACAGACCACTTCTCAGTTCCTATGCTTCCTGGCTTATGTTTTGGTCACTTTTGAATGCTGGCGGTGCTTTCACTCCAGTGGTAGCATGAAACGGCGTCTACAACCCACACAAGTGGCTCAGGTAGTGCAGCTCATCCAGGATGGCACACCAACGCGAGCTGTGGCAAGAAGGTTTGCTGTGTCTGTCAGCGTAGTGTCCAGAGCATGGAGGCGCTACCAGGAGACAGGCCAGTACATCAGGAGACGTGGAGGAGGCCGTAGGAGGGCAACAACCCAGCAGCAGGACCGCTACCTCCGCCTTTGTGCAAGGAGGAGCAGGAGGAGCACTGCCAGAGCCCTGCAAAATGACCTCCAGCAGGCTACAAATGTGCATGTGTCTGCTCAAACGGTCAGAAAAAGACTCCATGAGGGTGGTATGAGGGCCTGACGTCCACAGGTGGGGGTTGTGAATACAGCCCAACACCGTGCAGGACGTTTGGCATTTGCCAGAGAACATCAAGACTGGCAAATTCGCCACTGGCGCCCTGTGCTCTTCACAGATGAAAACAGGTTCACACTGAGCACATGTGACAGACGTGACAGAGTCTGGAGACGCCGTGGAGAACGTTCTGCTGCCTGCAACATCCTCCAGCATGACCGGTTTGGGTCAGTAATGGTGTGGGGTGGCATTTCTTTGGGGGGCCACACACACTACTGAGCCTCATTTTGACTTGTTTTAAGGACATTACATCAAAGTTGGATCGGCCTGTAGTGTGGTTTTCCATTTTGATTTTGAGTGTGACTCCAAATCTAGACCTCCATGGGTTGATAGATTTGATTTCCATTGATAATTTCTGTGTGATTTTGTTGTCAGCACATACAACTATGTAAAGAAAGGAGTATTTAATGAGATTATTTCATTCATTCAGATCTAGGATGTGTTATTTTAGTGTTCCCTTTATTTTTTTGAGCAGTGTATATTCTGAACAATCTATTAACATTTTATGGTAATAATGAGTTGTTTCAGCTTTGTTGCTTACGAATATTCTAAATAAGACAGTATTTCAATAAATGTGTTCATACAGGTATTTGAAGAACTGTCCTATTCATTTAAATGCTTTTAAGTTTAGTTCAAGTTTTATATGCTTGTATTGATTTAAATGTATGTACCTTTTAAATCATTGTTCTCTTGTTCCAGCTTCTGAAATGTGAGGATTGTTCCACTATTACCAATATCTTTGGGTTTCAGACTGCTGGTCAGACAAAACAAGGGCTTTCAGAAGTTGTGATGGGGATTCTACATTATTTTCTGATAATATATAGAACTGTTATTTGATTTATTTTGACAGTTTGTGTCATCAAACCTAAAAAAGAAAATGATGGTTAGACAGCCCTTGCTCAATTAATGAAGGCAACACTTTACATTATAATGTTTATTATTTAGCTGTTTGTTTTTAGTAAATGTACCCAGAACTCCCCAGGAAAGCAGTAAAGACTACTGGTGAAATAAAAAAGCAAAAAAGAGTTTCCCTCCTGTTTGAACCTAAAACCTTAATCTGTCATGTTGATACGGTTTTCTAATTGTTGGTTATCTTTGTCCAAATTAACAAAAGGCGGGAAGCCAAAAGTGACGAGTTTCGTTATAAAGCTGGTGATGTGAGTAGCTTTTGCTTCTTCCACATTAGATGTGACACTTCCCAAGAGCAAGTATACATAGCCAGGAGTCAAGTTCAACAAGGCTTCAACCTGTTTTTGCCCGCTGTCCAACACGCAACACACCAGATCACTACACCTTGCTATGTGGGTGGTAGGCCCACATGACATCTCTAAATTTGATTATGCATATAACCTACCTTATTTCAGTAAACAGAAAATGCTGTTTACAAAGCATTTTGTAAATGCAATGCTGTTATTCAGACTCTTAGTTTTGAAATATGGCAGTCCAGTAAATTATTAGAGTTAATGTCAAAAACCAAAATCAGTCAAAATGTTGTCTGTCAGCAACAGCAGTCTTGATTTGTATGCACAACAGAATGAGTGTGTTTCAGTCTGGTGTCCTGACCTGTTTGTACAGCCATCCTCGGACCACCGCAGGGACATTGGGATTCCTTTTAATGGCCTGCTCTCTCTTCCCAAAGCTGTGCACCTTGCCACTGGACCGGGAGCCCTGAAACACACACAGACAAGTATAGCAGGCTTTCATGAGATGTAAGAAGACACTAGACACTATGTTGGTTTTTCTTTTAATTTGTCACCCCATCTGCATGTACAGGTGACTATCTGCGAGATTATTATTTTGTTACTTATCAATCAGCCGTTATCTCTTGTCAGCTTCTTAACTAATTAGCTACAAATGTGCTCAGTTTTTATACATCTAATTTGCTCAGCAACAAAGCTATGTGGCCAATTGTTGGATCTCAACATTACCATTTGCATTATTAGCTTGGTTATTTAACTTCCAGAGAGCACCAAAGATAATCTCTAAGGTTTTAACAAGAGCAGAACTGTGGTTAATAAGGCTGGGACCAAAAGCAAGTAATTTATATTTAGAGGCAGGCTGTCTGTCCCTCATCAGACCAGTCAGTCTTACTTACAACATTACTGAATGGACTTTCACCCTCACCATGATCACTCTTTTTTTTCTTGGGTACCTCTCTTTTTCTGCCCCAGTTGCGACATAATTACAGCCATTATTTGAGCACAGCCAATTCTCCACTGGATCTCTGTTACTGTGTCAGCCATGGTTGCCATGTGATTTTTCAGACATTGACAAAGCCTCTATAGACTATCAGGTTGGAGGTTAGAAAAATGGACTTGTGACCTGCAGCTCACTGGTTTGACTGCCAGACAGACACTGGCTGGAAAGCCTGTGCAGTGACACTGAACGGCCAACATCAAAGACAGCGAGGCAATAACTCCAAATTGTTTTCCGTGTCAGCAGTAACAGACTGCGGGCTGCTGTGAATGTGTCTAAGTATGTATGCTGAAAGTTCAGCATTGCAGATAAGGTGACTTTTTCTGCATAAAAAAGTAAACAATCATGATAGAAACAGGCAGTCCCCAAAATAGCCAGCATATGTTCAAGTGTCCTAAAATACTAATACTAAATACTAATCTTTGCATCCTCACTCATTTTAAGTTGCGCTCAAGATTTACCTGTATTTTTTCTGCCACTGCAATATTTATGCTTGGGTTTCATTGAAGTTCTCAGAGATGCTGTTAAGCTCTATGTTCAAGCATTTCAGCCAATGTCAGAACGCCTGCTTATCATGTGCTGGGTCACAGGAGAGATCACAGCACACACTGGGTGAGAGAAGGGCTGGATTGAACTACTAGCTCACTCCCAGGCAAAATTTGATGATGGTGACCCCCCCCCCTGTTTCTCTCTGTGGATTGTATGATTTGTGTATGTATAAAGCACACATTTATTTAGTGAATGTACCATGTAAGCACAATAAAAACTGAAATAATAAAGGCTTTATGAAAGGCCTAAGCCAGTTGGTGGATTTGAACTTATGTGACAGTGCTTCATTTATAGTCTAACTGAAAAGCTCCACACAAAAACTTGGACAGCTATGTGCATACAGATGGACTCACACTACATCTCTGCTGAAAAGTGTTGAATTTAACATTTTAAGTTTTTCAGCTGGCACAGATGGCACAATGAAAAATAGACCTGGAAATAGAATATTTGATTCCGTGTAAACCATTTGTTTTCCACTAGTGACACCAACATCTCTGCCCCATCTTCTAGGGGAGACACTAGGGCCAGAACTAACAATTATTTTATCATAGATTAATCTGCAGATTTTTATTTTTATTTGGATTAACCAAGTAATTGTTCATTCTACAAAATGTCAGAAAATAATGAATAAGGTAAAAAAAAACATCAGTTAAGTCAATACCAAAAAAAAGTGAAATTATATTGTAAGAAACCGTCTGAGCAGTGTGACTTAACCTGCCGAGCTGAGGTCTATTAGCAGTGTTAAACTCTGGTAATATGCACTACTGTTCCACCCCATTAAGCTATAATTCAGCCAACTGTATAAATGTACAGCATCTGAGGCATTGACGTCAATTCATCTTTCATTACACACATAAAAGAAATGCATGGGTGCTGTCTGTGTCGCTCTCAGAAAACCATGACATTCTAGCATTATTATTGTGTTTGTGTGTACGTGCCTGCTGTATAAACCAGCAAACATAGTTATACACTGTGCACATATTCATGAAATCTCATTACAGCATCCTCTCTTCTGAAAACTCGAAGAAAGACTACTCCCCCTGGCATAGCACACACACACACACACACACACACACACACAAATACCCTGCCACCTTTGTCACATTTATATTATAATAAAAGATATGGTGTGACGGCTGCATGCATGTGTGTATATGGACTGGCAGCAGCACTGGGAGGCATCCACAAATGGAAAACAGCAAACACACTGGCTAATTAGTGGAAAGCTGGTTGGCCAAGCATGATGCATCTCCACTACTGTCACATTGGAGTCCCTCATCTGTAAACATAGAATATGTATATGTCCGTACATGTTTACTATGTTTGTCTCTGTCTGTATACATGCATGTCTGCAAATAAGAGTGTGTGTGTGTGTGTGTGTGTGTGTGTGTGTTGCGGTGGTCTATTTTTAGGCCGTGGAAAAGGCTGCAGTCCCTGCTGCAAAGTAGCACTCTGTCTTGTAGGTGAGTGACCCAGGGTTCTGAGCAGCTATTTGTTACATTAATGGCACACAATCAGACAACCTAAAAGCCTAGAGAGCTCAGTTGAAAGACCTGGAGGTTGCCGGCTCAAATCCCCAGCCAGACAGGAATTATCTGGGAGAGTGAGGTAATTAAAGAGTAGTGCTTCCCCCTCCCTTTAGAAATCTGGTTGAGGTCTACTTACACTAAACACCTTATTCCCAATCTCTTCAAGTGGATTTGATCATCGGTTAGAGGAGGCCCATTATGCTTTTCTTTATTTTTTATCACATACATCATGTTAGATGTTCACACTAAACGTGGCCAAAATTTAAAATAACATATGTAAAAGCAAATGTGAGCAAAAGGTTAAGGCTTCAGACTTCTCTGAATTCTAAGTTTCCAGTTTTTTCTTGTACTTTCGGTCCTTCTACTAACAAATTCCTGTTAGCTAGTTAGGTAGCAGATCAGCCAGTCCAATCATATCTACTACCTCCAATGGTCCCGAGAACACTCGTTTTTCCAACCTAATTTCCCATTTGTCATATGCTGTCAAGCACACCAGCAAGAGGATGAGGTGATGTTATAGACTGTATATAAAGATGGATGATGCATCTCCATTTCCTCCCACTGTAAAAAATTTAATCCAAAATATCCTTGATACAGGTGTTGCTCTCTTGTGCTGGTGACATCATGGCGAGTCTGCGCAGTAGTGATTGGGGTGGAGCCACAGCATCAAGGTCCACCCTTACACTAGGCCAATTCAAGCGCAAGCAGGGCTCTGCTAAAAACCCCCTTTTTATGACGTGAAACAACCTTTTTACAGCATCAAAGAACTAATTAAAACCAAATGAACACTTGAACAGCGTGATAAGAACTACCTGAAATTAGGGATGAACCAAATGTTCAGCAACCGAAATTAATCAGCTGAAAATAGCAAAAAAAAAAGCACTTTCAGTGTTCTAATAAGTCAAAAGACCGAATAAATTTTACTCAACAACTAAGGTGTGAAAGCGAATCCAGCGTTTTGGGCGGCTTGATTACGTACAAAGTCAATGCAAAGACGCGAATTCCTGTGAATTCGCTCTGAAAGAGGCATTTGTCGCGACATTCGCTGATTCACGTGAGTTCAATTTTTTCAGTTTGGGTGAGAAATGTCCAAACGTCACCAGCGAAAATCAGAGCGTTGTTTGCAGAGGACCTGGCAAGCGGTGTAATGACAATCCGCTGGCCGACGGAGAGCTCCTAAAGAATGGGGAAGTGTACGGGGAGCAGCGCTGCAGCTTTTGGACAAATAAACACCCGTAGTCGGACTGGATTATGCTCTGACAACTATGCCGTTTACTCGCAGGACGAGGTCAGAGTTAACTGCTTTTATGAAATTAGCGGTTTACTTTAGTTTTTGGGATTACTGATTACTGATTGACTTAACTTCACTTGCGCTTCTCGGCAGCTAGCTTCCGTGCACATCCCGTTCCACTGTTGTTGTTGGCGTTGGAGTTCTACTGGACTACTACTTTATATTTATATAAAAAGCGGACAAAACTGGACATTACTTGGAGAAAGGAAAGCGAGGAAGTTGAACTACCTGGTGAGTTCACAAAATATGTGTCAACTTTATTCCAGCTATTGTACTTTACTGTGAACAAGTTAGCATAGCCCAACTCCATCCGAACTACATTCAGAAAACAAACATTTTGAAAGTTGTTGTCCTGCAGACTTGCTGACAGACCTGACAAAGCATGAATTCATATGTCTAAGAAATCAGCATCATATTGTAGTGTATTAAATCACAGCAAAAGGTTTACTTTGGGTTCATATAGCTGTATTCGCAGGTTGTGTTTATTCACTCATGGCGTTGTGTGTGAACACTCAAAATGTCCAGGGGTCAAACTTGCGCGAGCAAAGCGAGGTGAATATTAACTTAAATATTAACTGTGGAAGCATTTTAAAGTCATTTGCAGATACTGTTCTGCTGAATTGTCTTCTAGCACATCCACTCCATCTGTGGCTGACTTCTTAGAAAAAAGCTGATAAAATATAGAGCTGGAAATGAGCATAAGAGGTCCCCTTAAACAGCAGCTGAGTGTAGCTGAACACGGCAGCTCACGAGTCAGTCTGGGTTACTTTTAGTGCTGAAATGATTAGGCAGTTCAGTGATTACACAAATGACAGAACTGACAGAATTTGATCACTGATTCACATTATTTAGTTGCAGCTTCTCAAATGAGAATATTAACTGCTCTTCTCCATTTCACATCACTGTAAGTTGAATGTCTTTAGGTTTTTCAACTGTTAGTCTGATAAAACAAATGATTTAAAAGATGTCAATAGCCAAGCTTCCATCCAAATTTAGCACAGATTTTAGATTACAGATTTCCAGAAAAATCAGCAAAACAAAACACAAATAAATGCGTCTCGAAATTTCCTTCCACAACCATTATGGAAGTCGAGCGCATCGAGATAAACAGCTGCTAGTGCTAATTTTTCCAGACAGGGGCTATTAAACCATGGCAGAAGAAGAGAGCACAATGAAATTACATAATTAAGACAGCATCACTCAAATCTCAAACAAACAAACACGATTTAGAAAAAACAACATGGAAATATGGCATTTATGTTTGTTTTGTGTATTATTTTGAGAAAGGTTATGGTCTCCTCATTGCTCCACACAGATATGTTTTTTTCTGCTGCCACTTTTCATCTCTCCAGTGGAGCAGAAAATAGAGTGGATGTTTAAGTAACGTTCTGTACATTATGATTTACCCGTTTCCACTGCACTTTGCTGCATTTACTTTTGTCAATATGCTAATTTTTCCACCTCAGCCGAGAATACATTTTTTTTTGCGGTATTTCAACTTTTGCACTTCCACTCTTTTTTAAGCACAAACTGAAAATGCGCATTACACAAAAAAACATGTGAATGGAAACTGTAGCGTGTAATAGCGTGGCTTAAAAAAAAAACTTAATTCAAGAATTTCAAGGTTGGGGTCAGGAACAGAAAGTGATGAACAAAGTAATATCCCTTAAGCAATGGATTTTCAAATGTGAGCTGCTCAGCACAAGTAGTCTCCTACTGTTGATCTACACCAACTTTCTACTAACATGTTTAACTGTGTGAATCTAAAGCTTGCTGTTAGCGAAAAGAGCAAAATCACCTAAAGGATTACAGTTAAAAGAATGTGTGCAAACTGAAGTGCATTTCTGCATTAGGAGGTAGGCAGTAATTAAGGGTCAGTCACTCTTTTTTCCAGGTAATACAGGAACTAAAACCAGAGACCATTAAGTGACAAACCTTTTCTTTAACCATCGGCAACCAACGAAACAGGCAAATAATTTGTTGTGGTATGTGTTGGTTTTCATACTCAAGTGGCACTAAAAGATAAAGAGGAGTGGTAGTTATTCAGGGAACTGACAGGGCACATGAATTTGCATAAATTCATTAAAGTAAACTGAGATACGACAGGAATTCCTAAATGACACTGACTGATAAATCCCAAAGAAGTTGTGCAAAGTGGTTATGAACACAACACCACTAAAAACGCATTCCAGCGACAGAGAACACAAGTGCTCAAGGAAGATTCAGGAGAATTGTGACAAACAACTCGTGGGACAAATGGGATAATATCTGTCCCTGCGCTCCCTCTCTGATGTTTTTGGGATTGGTGGAATGGATGTGACTTATTCAAAATATGGATTCATTTCTTGATGGCGGTATGGGGGACACGAATGACTCATCTTTCCTCTGAAACAAGATTCGTTTGTTAAGAGTTTTCATGTCAGAACTAGGCTTCTACACTGTTTTCCTGCTGTTCAATGGCAGGGGTGATGAGCCAGAGCACCTGGGAGGGCTGTATGCCAGGAAAACAGGGGGTGTGAAAACTGCAATGGGCTGTCGTGATGGATGCCCTGTCATCTCTGTACCGCACCCGATGACACATGTTCAATCTTAGTCCTACGGCACCTGTTGATAGGGCAGGATGAGATTTCACGCCACTATGGAGCTATGTATGTGCGTGTGTGAGAGTGAGTGTAAGATATAGACTGAAAGAAAGAAAAGTGTAGTCATGGAAAGGTGGAGAAAATTTTATAACAAGAATCATCACTAAAAATGTAACCTACAAGAGATCTACATTTGGTAGCTCGAACTGGAATTGGCATAAGCAATGCTAAATCGCTTTGACAAATTCCATCATTTTGGCAGTAAAAGCACATTGCCTGAGCCAATGACAGCTTGAAGGACAACCACAATCAAAGGGAAAAGAAAAAAAAAGTTTTTTCCCCCTGAGTCTGGCTCAAGGCTCTAAAACAAATTTCACTGTCTTGTTTTATTGCTACTCTTCACACGTCTTTCTGACATCACTATCAGTTGATATTCGTATGTGTTTGAGTTGAATTATAGAGTAGATGTGCACAAATCTGTGATGTGATGTGAAAAAATGTGAGATATGAGAACTGATTATCAAAGCAAAGTCCATTTTGCCGCTGTCATTTTCTCTCTTTCCTCTGTTCTCTTCTGTCTTTTTAAATCCTGCTACAACATGTTTGACCTATAACTCAAATCTTTATATGTAGCACAACAGCTTTTGCTGTGACTGTCTTTTATTACTCTCTAGACACAGATATAGCTCTAATCTTTGCAATCCTGCTTGGAGGTCGAAGAACTTGTTCTGCACTCACAGTCACTAACTTGGGTTCTTCAGTGTAGAGCAGTGGTCGGCAATAGGCGGCCCACGGCCCACCAACATTATAGCGGCTGGTGCTTAAACAGCTCTCAGCCAAGTTACTTACATAATCACTTCCTCTTAAGTGATTGTGCCTACAAAATAAAAGAGCCAGAATGTCTTTGCAGCAGTTCTTTATGTCGTGTTTAATTGAAAGCTTTTAATTTTAAAAGTTCTTAAGGAAATTCAAAAGAGTGAGTCTCAGGCCTGCTTTAAAAGCCATCAGTAAACGTGAGATCAGATTCCCCTGAGAAACGCAGGAATTTCCTCTGCCTGGAGATATTGGAGACATGAAAATAAGCATCCATAGGTTGATGTGGACCAATTGCCAGGAGGCAAACACACCTGCACATGCATAATTGTGAACAAGTAAAACGATCTCTTGTTGAAAGGGAGAAAAATAATACTAGCAGCAAGTGTGGATTGAACACACAACCCTTCAAACAGGAGTCCTATGCACTACTGACTGAGCTAAACAGGTACACAGTTAATGATGGATTCTTATATAGATAAATTGACTATATTCTGGCCCGCAATCTAATGACTTGAAAAAAATTTGGCCCAATGGCAGACTTATTTGCTGACCCCTGGTGTAGAGCAACAACTATGGGACATTGTGGCGAGTGATTGGGATAAATGCCGGCAAAGTAGTGGACTGGAAAAAGACACGATCATATGGCAATGATTGAAAGGTGCAGTTACAGAAAACTATTTCTAATAGCATTATACTGTAGAATTGAATTCCATTCATTCAAATTAGGCTCACACTCTGGAATTTTCTAAAAAACACACCAGAATAAACTGAAAGTATAAAAAGGAAACTAGCAAGCAACACTGTTTTGTTTGTTTGTAAATCAAATTGAAACTAAATTAAATATTGATTTGCAAGAAGAAATCTAGGCTTTTAGGCAAGATGGATACAGTGCTTTGAAAGTAAACCAAACACAATGCTACAATGCACTGTGCTGACATTGACTTAATTTTCTAAATGCACATAATCACACATCGTAGAAGCGCATACCGACAAACACACATCCGCCGGAACATTCCCCCAACAGGATCATCAACAGTAAACATAACTGTCCTAAGCCTGCTATGATGACATTTAGATACAACCACAGGTAAATTACACTAAACCACACACACACACACACACACACACACAAACACAGACTAACCTTGGAGGCTGGGGTGGTGTCCACAGTGGAGGAGGTGATGGCAGTGGAGGCCTCGCTGACGGTGGTGCTGGAGAACTGCTCACCCGTGTTTTTGGACACCATGCGAGCACCCTGCGGCCTGGACAAGAACATACACACAGAAAGTTTAAACACACCTTTTCAAATCGGATATAGAGTTAATAAACATCCCCGAGGGTGTTTATGAGCTCCTCCAGAAAGAGAGGAGAAGTGTCCTTGAGCAAGACGCTGAACCCTTAACCGCTCCTACTGAGCAGGTTGGCACCGTGCACATGTTCTGTGTGTGTGTGTGTGTGTGTGTGTGTGTGTGTGTGTGTGTGTGTGTGTGTGTGTGTGTGTGTGTGTGTGCGTGTGTAGGTGTGTTTATAAACCAGACAGCCAACATCTGACACAGGCGGCTACATTTTCTCCCTCTATCCCCCCACACACCGTGGAGGGCAATGAATAAAATCCTCTGTGTGTGTGTCTGCGTACAAGATATATTTTCATTTTGTATACTCAGGTTAGCACAGAGTTATTACCTTTGATGACCATTTCACAATAGGAAGCTAATATATAGACTTACAAACCAGATTCAGAGTAGACAAATAAAAGTGCACACAGCAGCAGACTATGTTATGTAAGTGTACACTTCAAGAAGATAAATTAGCACCAGTTTTTAATCCCAATGTTAACTAGATAATGCTTATTAATAATAATTATTTTGATGTTTCTAAATAGTTGTATTAGATGTAATCTGTATTATGTTTTATTATAGGAAATGGAAGCATTTTCTATAGCAGCCTTTTATACCTCAGAGAGAAACACTATGGGTAAATAGAAGAATGGCTGACATCTGAAAAGAATCTGGGCTCAAACCTGTAACATCCCAGGGGAACACTGGGTCAACAGGACATCCCAGAATTCCTCATTTGTTATAATAACTTCAAATTATAGCAGCAAAAAAGCTGATCCTCCTGACCAGCTTAATTGACAGGCAGTAGATGCCATTTCAAGGACTATTTCTATCATTAAGTCACTATCTACCAGCAAGCCTACTAACAAAAGCTCTTGCATTTGCAGTATTAAGAATTGGGTGTCGGTGGCGACATCCCAGGAAAGAATTCTATATTAAGCTACTGCTAGTACAAACAGAACATTTCCTACTGGTGCAGCTTCACATTAAGAGCACTTAACTGGCAAAACAAAAGGTGACTTTTATTATGAAGTAGTCACAAGAAATGCAGTGTGCTTCACAGTGAGATTAGCACTGATCACTACTGTTCATCAAAAATGCATCTACAAAACAAGACATTTTTTGACACGCGTAAGTTCGAAATATTGCAGGATGCAATGGAACAAGAAGGAGCAGTGTAACCCTGGAAAACTAGCATCAACTGTGTGGAAACTAATAAGGATCTTAACAAAGACTAAAGAATAACGAGGAACATGCGGCACTGATACCTGTTTACTGTGAATGACATCTAAATATGAGATCTAAAGCTTTGACATTTTGTAGCACAGGCTTAAAAAAATGATGACACAAACAGATCCCGATAAAACATAACTGCCTGCTTGCTGGCTACACTCAGTGTCTCTTTGCATGATGACAGCCCCGTTATTGCGGCTGTCTTGCTGTGGTGAGACAGATGAGGCGTTCCATGCTGGATGTTTTATTGTCAACAGGCTGACACCAGGCAGACCATGTGTGTAAATCTGTCTGATTCGTTTCAGAAGGGAAAACACTGGCAGCGTAATACCTTCTTTCATCCAAGAATCCAACCTAATTACCTAGCATTACACCCCTCTATCTTTTTCCATTAAATCCATACATTTTTATTTCTGTGTGTCTTGGAGGCTTCGCTACAACTGCGAGCTGCTCTTTCAGTGAACACATTATGCTGCAGTTTCGTTTGATTTACAGTACATGTATTTCTGGAATAAATCTAAATACTGGTCTCTTTTCACTTTTACTTTCTCCGTCTTTGTCTCACTTTTTAGAAGATTTGTTTGTCTACTGTTGCCATCCTCCCCTTATTTCTCTGTTTTTGTCATACAATCAACTGACCGAATGTACTCTCATCTAAGCCCTCCATATTACAGGCTCCAATGTAACACACCAACACAGCCACCAACTTCTATCTACACATGCATAATGTGAATCTCTTGAATGTGGTGTGGGAGAGAGAGAGAGAGAGAGAGAGACATTAACTCTGTTTTCATTCTGCTGTCAAGAGAATTTCACGCAAACTTTTGAAAGGTCAGGAACTATAAAAATGTAAATTGGATGCATTTTCATCAAAGTCAAAGTCATTATAATGCATTCATTGGACATAGAAGTGATTTTTAAAAATGACTGGTATCAGGGAAAGTCATCCTTAGATTAACTAATGTTGGTTAAAATTTAAGGTCACAAAGATAAAAACAAGGCCAGGCACTTTTTGGGCAATATAACTGAACCACTCCACCGGCCAACACCACTTTCCTTAGTTTTCCATGTATATTTTTTACCAAAACATCTTTCTTTATGTGCGACTTTTGGGCAATTCTGTAATTTTTTATTCAGCTCTTTGTAATGCCACCACTTGCAAGAGGTTGTTGAAAGGTAAAAGCGAATGTGGAGGCAGAGAACAACAAATGTGTTTTTGACCTTGTTGAAAGAGAGCCAAATTCAGCACAGAGAGGTAAGAGGCACAAAAGGAGATCAAAGAAATATTTAAAAACCAGACAAATTAAAACATTTTTCTCTGCAGCGAAGTATACAAGGCTCAATTCTTCTATCTGACATAAAGACACTACACTGGGAGTCTGTAACCTGACATTCGACAAGAGTTTAGCCTCCTTTACTCAAGACAAAACAGATCAGGGAGGAGCTCCTGAGACTCAAGTCTTGAGGAATCCAATTTGGCCTTTAAGTGAAGGCTAGCTCTCACCCAGGAGGGTTGGAGAAAAGTATGACCTGACTTTTCTGTGACTTCATCCATATGAAACAAAGCTCCTGGTGGTCCAAGGGAACACAACCCACTTATTTACTTCAAATGCTCAAAGAGGACCAAGTCATCCTAAATCTGTCCAACCTCGTTTTTCTTTTTTTTTCTTTTTTTTTACATCCTCTGTTGCTGAGGTAAAAAATCTTGGTGTAACGTTAGACTGTACCATTTGTTTTGAAATACATCTCAAAAACACCAAGACTGCCTTTTTTTCACCTGAAGAACATCTCCAGACTACACTCCTCTCTGTCCCATTCTTTTACAGAGACTCTCATTCATGCCTTTATTACATCCCAATTAGACTACTGTAATGCCCTTCTCCTGAGTGTACCCATTCAGTGCAATAATATTTCCAGAATGTGGCTGCAAGAGGTCTCTGCCACGTAAGGTCCTGGGAGCACATCACCCCTATCATTCAACAAATGCACTCGCTCCCAGTTAAATACCACTTTTTCTTTATTGTACTTCTTTATAAAGCTCTCCATGGATTGGCACCTCCCTACTTATCCAGTTTTCTCCATACCTACACACCTAGCTGGTGCTTTGTAATATATATATTATCATTTTTGTATTATTTTATCTGTCATTACTGTTTCCTGACACTTCCATCTTTTATCACATATAAACTCTATTACATGGTTTTGTGCCCTTGGTGACTTCAAAAGCGCTTATAAATAAAATGTATTATTATTTCTTCTCTGCAGCACACAGAGAGGTAAAAGACAGAGTGAAACACAAAGGTCCTGAGAGAAAGAAAGAAACAGGAGAGGCCATGACAAAAACACTGAGAAAGCTGTAAGACAGAATGGCACAGGCAGGAAATGCAAAATAACCTTAAAATGATAATACAACCCTATGTTAAAACTTTTTTTACTGATTTTTCACCTGCTTTTAATTATTTTTATTAACGTGTTATGGTTTGCAGTCTACTTGCTGGTTTTAAAACTGGCAACTTAGGGATTCTCCCTAAACCTCTTTGAAACGAACTAAATTAATTTAATTGAAAGGACAAAGAGAAGAGAAAAGGAGAAAACAGGGAGGATAAAGAGATTGAGTAATTCTAGACAGACCACATGAAAGGAGACTCTCACACTCCACTAAACAGGTTGTGCTGCAGCATCATCAGTACAGTTTCAATGTTACAGCTGTTCCGTAGAGTGTTCTTATTATTAAAAGGGAGCAGATCAATAAGTCTTCATTTCACTATTGATTTATGGTGATCATTTTATACATTTGTAATGTGTAAATAATAAGGCACAAATTTATAACCGGACATTTCAGATGACTATGTCATCTGATTTATGGTGTGTGTCACTTCAAAAAACGTACTGGACATACATTTCTAGTTTTGGCCCCCTTGTTTGGAATTAATGGGCATGTTGCCAATTCCAATATAAAAATTGTTATAGGAGTTTAACCATTTACAACTGTCAAGCTATTCTTGCTTATTTCGCAGTGTCTATTCCTGTCTACTGATATATACAGACACACTACTTTTTTACTTATTCTTTGTGTTATGGCAGAAAATTGTGTCCTTACATTTAATATTTTATGTATGATCTTTTAATATTATTATTATTATTATTACTATTCTCATTATGGCTTATAGATATATGTATTGTGTTTTTTATCCTTAACCTTTCCTCTCCTATACTCCTTATGTTAGTCTGTCCACATTTACTAGGGTTTAGGTCAGAGCTGTGAGATTGTTTTGGTGTTTTATCTCTGTTCCCCAAAACATAGAAACTAAGACTGTGTAAATGATGATGCATCCCTTTGCTCAGGGCCAGACGCCCAAATCCGCCCTAGGCAGCAGGTCTCTGGACCAGCTGTATATGTGTTTCAGTACTTCTCTGTTTATTCTCTTTTGTTAAATAAGTTCTTTAAAGACAACGGGTGGTTGTAACTCAATTCTTTGCTCAACCTCTAACCAGGAATAATATTTACACGACATTTTGTATATGGGCTGGGAAATGATTTTAAAAACTGTTTGTGTGCAGGTTTTTAAAAAATATATATATTTAATAACACCAAACCTAAGTTGACCTCCATTACATTTACGTATTTTAGCCTATGAAAATATCACTTTAATTTCTTATCACTTCAGTCCACATGTACTGTTGAGGCTAAG